TACGAGCGCAACAGCTGCATTAGGCACAGTCAGTAGGCGAGCCGTGGGCTTCGTAAAACCATCATATTCTCAGCGTCTCGGCAGGGCTGCACTTAACGAGGTACTTCCTAGGAAGACGTGTTCAATTCTATGTCGAAGGTGGGAGCATTGAGCTTGCACATATAACACTGTTCCATGGTGATCTGGGCGTCTATGATGCAGAACACTGAGCAAAAAATGCTTCTCGGTATTTCACTCCTACAGGTTGTAATGTACAGCTGTGCAGGTGAGTTGAAGATTGCCGTAGCGTGCACTGCATGCGTGATAATCTAATTGTTATAATGCTTAGGCACGCACAACACGCGCATTTTGTTACTTTAAACTTTTTTGAAGGTTTGAATACTAACATACTATTCAGTTCTGTTGTGTATTCTTGAGCGATGTTTTCTTTTGAATAATGGAAAGTCTTTTCACAAATTGTGTTTGCTTTTTTTAACTTGTTTTACGTCATTATCTCACATGTATGCTCATATGCTTTTCATTGCCGTTATATTTCTAATAAATATAATATTATCAATTTTTTCCATTGTCATTCCTGTTAAGACTTGTATATTGATCGACAATTAGTTTATGGTGTTGTTTGTATAAAAATTGTGCCAATCCGTGTATCTATTCCTTTTATGTTCCCTTTACACAATGCCCTGTTGTGTCTTTAAGAAATTTTGAATGAATAAAAAAATAAATAAATAAACAATAAATTTACTAATACAGCACTACTATTCTTATTTTTATACTTGAAGAATGTTATTAGTCATTAGTTGGAAATTTATAGTTTTCAAGGCTTCGCTGGGCTGTATTCTACCTACTTTTACCAGGATCCTTGTGTAGGTGAAAGCGTTACTGGTCAGCATTTGTACTAAGTGTGTATTCAAGTGTTCTTGCTCAGCATACATAGTTGCAACTGAACCCACACGAAACTGAGCTTTGAACGCTTCCAGCCATTCACCAGTTGACCGAATATTTCACTTAACCCTTGACGGCAGACAAGAGTAACGAGAATACTCATAATTTTCATCAGTGTTGTAACAACTCAATGCAAATGTTCAAAAAGACAACAGTGACACTTTAACATATCTGGCTTCGACATAAACGTTCCTGTGACAGCTGCGGGTGCACGGAAGTAAGAAATCTGTATCGTAAATATTTTTCTCTCTCAAAAGCACTTTCTTTTGCATTTTGCGGTCTTTTCTTCCTGATATTGAAACAACGAAACTTTGATATGAACAGGTTCATATGTAAAACTAAAATATCCTTCTGTATATTCATTGTTTCTTCATTGTTTCTTGAAGCACCAAAAGAATATACAGTATTCCCCGCATTTTGGACGAGCGTAATGCAGCCGGAAATTTGATTCTCCAGCTTAATGATAAGATAACACTTAACCTCGAAAAGAGCAACGTAATGACTGACACCCTCATCTTTGTCACAAGTACCAAAGACGTCCAGAAGGTGGAAACTGTAAGTGCAGAAACTTTCCTACATTATGTGCTTCTACATATGAATGATGCCTGTGGCCGCAACAGCATATTAGCTTTTAATATTGATATGCTGCACGTGCGACCCCCTCTAGAATTGTTCAATATTTGCTGTACCTCACAATATATGGTTCGGCGTAAACCATTACATTACTTATTCACATGAGCCATGTATCTCACACACTGTGCACCCAGTACCAAGCTGTGGCAAAGCTGTGGCTTCCGGTACTTACAGTTCAGTGATGAAGTGCATGTATTTTTTTTTACCTGAATTAGGCCTCGAAGAAAAAATTATTCAGCCATCTGTTAATAACTAAATTACACAGCTGTCGACAGTTTATTCTGCTGTTAAATTGTAATACTTCAATTGATTTTCAAGATATAGCTCCTGTATGGCTTATTTTGTCTTTACAGACACTGGGAAAACTGCCGTATTTGTGAACTACGAATGTGGTGGTTATTACCACTGCAAATCAAAATTTCAGTTCCACTAGAATTGTTTACGTAAAAAAAGCATTGGCATTAAAACAAATGATCATTCAGACCGAATTGAGCCGCCTAACTCTGATACCTCGCATAATACCTTGCTGTCTAGAGCACTGGTGATGGTCACAAATGCCCCATATATTATTAACTAATTTAGAACGAATTTTGTACATTGCAGTTTTGAAATCGCTCACAGGCTCAAGTGATCCGTAGTTTATAAGTGTGCAGAAATACTCATGGCCAGGTATGGCTCTTGAATGTGCTCTTAAAGCAATAAACGAGAGATGACCAATTTGAAGGGCTAGATTTTCATTGTTAAATACAATATTCTAATTACAATTTCTGCGTAAATCAAGCACTGGCAAAATGCAACCGAATTCACGAACTCCCAGCTTGACGTTGCTACGCATATTGTTGTGAGCTATGCCACGGGCCATGATACAAAGCTATTTCATCTTCTCAGATTATGCATCGGCCTAAATATTCTTCATTATCTTTCGAGCCAAAATTACTAAATTGAAAGCTGCAATATGACCGCAATTCAAAGTGTTCCCATTATTTATTTTGCAGATGGACACGTCACATATTCACGATAGCATATACCACGATAAACATTATCAATCCTCCGTCGTAGTACGACAGGAAGAAGGCAATGTCGAAGTCGTAAGTTAAAAATTTTTGCACGCCCGTACATAGAGCGGTTTAGCTGCAAATGCCAGCAGTTGGAGGTAGGGCAGCATGAAGCACCACGAAAGCAGTATTACGCATGACTTTGTTGTGTCTTGTTACTAGTTTTTTACAGCATAGCATGTTCATAAATTACTGCTAAAAATAGTAACTACAATTCTCTATTTACTGTAGTGCATCTCTGATAATGAAAGGTCTGACAGGACTATTTAACATGGCCTGCAGTAGGCGTTATAAAAATTTAGTATTTTGATACCATGTTTTCATAATGTAGGTTTTGCGCATGCTCTCTATAAGACTGGTGCAGATAAAATAATTCTTTAAGATTAAACGATGGCTGTTCATTGGCAGACCATGTGCTACTTTTTTTTTTTATTTCTGCCCAATATATTTAACTTCTATCTCCGTTCGGTGGCTTTTTTCTTGTTACCCTAATATTCAAAGTGTTGATTACTTCAAAATTATTTAAATTTAACATACGGTAGCACTTTCAAAACGCCTAACAAATTTTCAAATCAGGATAACTGATATGGGCAATCTTGCAGTGAGAAAAATGTTTGTGTTTATTGTGCTTTTTTATTGCAAACTATGTTTCGCAGCTGCAGTAATGCATTGTGGTAATTTCCTAGTGTGAATAATAGTGTTTTGAGTCAAAATCACCTGAATTGACGCGTCACCCATTGGTCTAACATAGGCCCATTAGGTTTATAGTATATTAAAACGGACGACCTAAATTAAGTACTTCCTTCGTTACGATTTTCTCCCTTATTTCTGTTACAACTTCTTCACATTTCTATCCTGTGTCTAAACGTGGAAAGCCTACTACGGCACTGCAGTAAATATCATTACACTTTTAGGTCAATCACAAGCACCAGCTGATGCAAATTTTTGTTCTGATGGTGTTTTTTTTTTCTTATAGGAAGGCATCATCAACGACAACTTGCGAATCAGGCCTCTCCCAGAAGCAGAACGTTCAGCACAAGGTCAGATGCTACACAGGATATTCGAAGTGGACCGTAAAAGCGAAAAATTCATCAAAGTGGGTCAGTAACTGCACGCATGACTATGATTCTTCGCGAAACGCAATGTATTCATTCTGACAATTCAGAAAATATATATTCACTGTGAATAAAACACCTTTCTTCTTTAGAAAACTATGAAGCGCGATTGCCCATATGTCAACTACCATTGAATCAAGCGAGTGTTTTCGGTGTATGTGTCTAATAATTGAAAGTTCAAAAGAACATATTAAACCATGTTTTTTTTTGTTTTTTTACTCGTCTTGATGCGTGTTCTGATACTATCTACGGTTTTTTGTTTTATTAGAGATACAAAAGAAATGGGGCAATGCCATGCCTACAAAAACAGGCTTGGACAACGATCGAGCTTCACCTACAAGAGTAAAGCGCGGTAGTGTAGCCCGGACCTTTCAACCATGCCGCAAGGGAACGCTTGTGCGCGTAACACTGGCAGCTTCAAACTATCGCAGAATTTTCACTGAATTTAAAGATGCCAAGTACACACTGCGCCATAATTCTTCCTTTTGCCAATTGGAGGAGTGCCTTCTACTCATGCGTAAAGTCCAGCATCCACCTTTGTTGCTGCACACTTAGTAATAGGTGGGCAACTTTGAACTCCTCGCCCCCTCGTTGCACACTTCACATGTTTCGACGCCTGGGGTGATTCTAGGATTCTGCCTACCGATATTGCATGCGACAAAAAGATTCCTTTACCTACATGACGTTCATATAGGGGTGTTCGTTTTTTTTTTTTTCTTAAGCAGTTTCAAGTGATATGGTATAAATCAAGCTCGTCATGCCGATAGCCTTGCTATGATTTTCACTTCGAACCAAAACTTTTTATTTTCTGTTTAAACTGCACCTTTTTAAGTTTTTTTTTGTGGAAAACCAGATCATTTCCCGCTCAGGAGTACTGCTGCCGACGCTGAGAGATCTGTGAAAGGAGATCTTCAACGTTATTGCGTTAAGATGGACATCGGCGGTAGCTGCTGGCATCGTAAATCCTGTGGGCGAAAGGCGTTCATTATTATAATCGTGGTTTCCTCGCCACCCATACGTTTTTATTAACGATGTCTATAGCTGGTTTCCCTAGTTTTATCAGCAAATTTCCTGAGACACAGCAGGAAATATGCTGGACGAAATTTAAAAAAAAAACAGACGCCTTGCGGTATCGTAATCGAGAGTGTACGCAAACATGAAATTACAATCCGCAAAGTAGATTGGCTGGAGTTGATACTACCGCCACGGTATTATTATGTGACCGCAACTGCACACAGGCCTGAGAGATTACAGAATGGGAGTTCAAATACTTGGAACTGAGCCTCATTGCAAGTCTAGCCTCGACCGAAGAACACCAACGCCGCGTGCAGGTACGCGCACGTGGCGGGACGCCATCCCTCGATGGATGCGAATCAAGACATTCGTCATGCAACTAGCCTTGAAAACAACACATATAATTATCTCTCTCAACACCAAAAGGCTGCAAGCAAGTGCATGGGGCCACAGTACACCGTTGCTAAATTGTACATTTCAATACTCAGATTTTTTTTTACCCTATTCTGTGACTAACTCTGTGATTCGCAGAAGACATCAGCAGATTTGAGTATTCTGAAGTGAACTTATTCAAAAGCCATTATATTTTACTTTTTTTTTACATCTTGGAGCAACCGTTTCAAGTGCGTTAAAGTCAAGCAGCCGTGCGCTGTGAGGAATTAAGACAAAGAATATTTGCATTATAGCACCGATGAACCACATGCCCAATAAATGGGCAATGGGTTTTCGTGGGGTTCTATGTTCCGGCCTGCATATTCTTTACTTGAATACCTTATTAAGGTCTATGGTCTAATATATGTGTTCGTATATTTTTAAAGGCCACACGGAAGATCTGACGAAAGGCTACAACCGAACGGATGCCCGCAAAGATACAAACAGCAATGAGGGCTGGGACGGTAAGTAACGTCCTAACTATGTCTTTCTACTTTAAAACAGAAAAACAGCCAACCCTTTGCGTGTCAAAGCTACGAAATCAGGTATTTAGGAGAATACGTTGAAGTAATTAGAAAAATAACACTGCAGGACTAATGAGCACGAGAAAATTTGTATAGGCCTCCCACACCAAAGTCAGTTTTAAAACTAGCCCAGAAGTGCATTCCAAAAAGTGTAGCATGTTTTCATAGTTGCTAAATATCCCATTCAGCTGAGTAAATGTGGGGCGCACTTTTATGAAAGCCACCATATATTTATTCGACCGAAAATTGTATTTTATACGCGCTGCTCTACTTTAGAGCCGAGTACTGGAGCAAAATTTATGTGATGGACCTAATCCCTGGCTCGAATAATTCTTGATAGTCTATGCTGATCAGAAAATCAAATATATATAGGAGTCCACGAAATCCAGTACATTTTACCTCATGGTTAATAGCGTCTTAACATTTTATTTTTTGCCCCTTCTGCGCCTGAGTTGACGGAAAATATACCGTGTGCTTTGTTTTCAACAGCGTTCTCGTTTTTGTGAGGTGTTGAATCCACACTTGCCGCCTTTCTCAAAACTTGTGACCTCTTTAATCTACACAGTGGTACGTTTTAGCCTATTTATCACAAGGGTAGAAGAAAACCAAATTGATATTTTCTGTCTTGGTATATTCCCATGCATGCAAAATTAAACTTGCAAAACATGCCACAGAAAGCCAACTTTCCAGTCAAAACAGCTTCGTTATTCCTTTCTAGCTCTACAAGAACGTGCGTCATCCAGGGATCAGTTTTTCGTAGAGCTTCACATCATATCCGATAGGAAGCACCAGTACAGTTACAAGTCAAACGAAGAGTTAATCACTTATATGGCTGTCATGACAAATGCTGTAAGTTCGGTTTTCAATCGATTTTGACTTGCACTATTGATTCAGGTCACTTGAAAAACCGCCCCAAAATGTAGCCTCAGTACAGATTGCTAGAATATGACAACATAACGTAATCACAGGTTGTTAGTGTTAGCTCGATAAATCTTTTTAGCAAAATAAAAGACTAATCGTTTTTTAGATAAGAAATAGCGACAAAAGAGGTTTCGTGCATCACTTAGAAGAAAGTTCTGATGAAAATAAAATAAATTTTTCAGCATCTGCTTTTAACATGGTATACGTAATATCCACCTTTACCTTGATGGATAGATAAATCAGGTGAGACAGCAAGGCGCTCAAACAAAGGCGTTAAAGAATGAAACTAAACTAAAACGCTATCGCCCAAAACATGACGACGCTTCTTTATTCAATAATTTTCTATTCTGACAAGTAGATCAACTTTCTGGCGACTCACTTTTTTTTCTCAGGCGAACTTGAGGTACCTGGACATGGCACACCCTAAAATCAAGTATCAAGTTTATTCTTGTGGGCGTGACAAGGGTGAAAGTAAGTATACCGTGCGACAAAATAGTTTTCGAATAATTAAACGGACATAAAAACCATGCTGGGTTCACAGGCACGATTTCATGCAATATCTCTTGAAACAATCAGAAAGGAAACCACCTTAGTTGTGCTTCGCTATTAGAGAGAACACAAACTTTATTTTTACAATATGTAGAATAAAATATGTCTAGAAAACTGACTGTCGTCTTTCGTCCTAAACTTAGAAGAAAAAAGTTTTAATGACGCAATAATTAGCTGAAAAAATGTCAATAGTGACGTAACAAAGTGTGTGCCTAAAAGCAGGAGGCAAAGTATACTCTGTAAGTTTTCTTGCGAATCTACTATGTATAATTACTTCCAAGACATACTTGCCTGTGCCTTTTTACGTCAAATGTCAGCAAACCTGACGTGCGGACAACAAAAGCGCATGAACGAAAAAAACACTTAATTTATAATCCCAAGAAAAAGGTGCGACTTTCTGATGAATCATGTGTCGGATTCATGTGCCATTTCTGCTTAGCGAAGCTTTAAAAAAACAACACAAAGAGCGAACATGCAAACACTTTAGAGGTCATATTGGCACTAAATGTTGTGTGTTCCAAAATCTCTCAACGAAAAAAAAAGGCCTTATAAACGTGGTCGTGTACCGCTAAACACGGCTGCTGGATTACCGAATATTCTAATAACGCCAAAGACGTGAAGCAAGCGGCTATAATGTGTGATTACTTTAAGCATGTAATGGACAGATGCAATTGCTGTGAAATACTGAGAACTTGTCTTGCAGTGTGACCACAGTTGCTTTGGATTAAAACTGTGCAGTAAATAATTGAGATTTTCGGATAATAGAAATGTTTGCCTGTAGCCATGAAGCAAGTGCCTAGCGTGTGACCACTTTGAGCATAGAACGAACACGATTCTTTATGGTCAACACGCATGTCCAGCACACTTCCTGCGAATAATTACTCATTCAAGTGTCATGAATGAAGTACTATCTCTGCGTTTAAGACACTCATTCGTTCTTTTCCTTTTGTAACAGGATCACGAGTTCGCTAGCAACAGACATGGAACAATTGATGCGAGTGCTATGTTGAACGGGTTACAGAGGTACGCAAATGAAGGAAAAGTACCAGGGCATCGCGACGCGGTTTACCTTGCTACAGCGTAAGTAAACAGCTGGTCACATCTTTCTCTTACATTTTCTTTGTTGTGAGAGCAATTGAAACAGGAGCTTTTTAATATACAGCCCATACTCGCATTTTCTGGAGAAGAACAAGGAAAGGTTCTGAATCATACCATGTTTATAGTGCCATTATGCGTGGTCATTCTTTAAAAAACCAACGTCTTTTTTTTTTGAACTGCAGTCTTGTTACAAGTTATTTTATCCTAGTACTGCTTGCTGCAAAACAATGAGGGAGTAACATTTAATATCCTTTTACCTCTGTATGACATGTTGACTATGACGGCCCAAACATTCCTTCATGGATAGCATTCTGCTCTTTGCTTAAGAAATTTGGATACTTTGTAAGAAAACAACAGCACTATATTAATAGGCTCGAAGGAATCACCCCACACAGACTCACGTAATATTAAACCCGTCATTTCAGACTTGACATGCAAATGAAGCAGGATAACACTGTTGCAGGTAAGCGTAATTTATCTTGAAAAAATTAAGTAGAGTTGATTTCACAATGTGGTGTCCAATACTCACTATGGTGTTAAGTTTCCGCATATGATGACGAAGGCTGACCCCGCATGAATCAACATAAGCGTTCACAGTATTTTCACATTATCTGGTACATTGAGTTTGGATACTATATTCGTTATAATTCTGTCGGGCGGCCCCGACACTCATCACCAATTCTCCCTTTGACTTCACAATATGAACTTGCGCCTCACGCTGTGAAGTAATTTACCGCCATCAATGACATCGGGTGCTTCCTCTAGTCTGTCTTGAATGCAGAGTACAAAACAGGGCACTACGAAGGAAGGAATGAAGCAACCAAAGGGTGAAGGCAGGGAGGTTAACCAGAAAGGCATCCGATATGCTACCCTGCACTGGGGAATTACGGTACAGGCCACTGCAGCGAACACCTAAACTACCCTACACTGGGGGATTAGGGAACAGGTCACTACAGCGAACAACTAAACTACCTTGCACTGGGGGATTAGAGAACAGGCCACTACAGCGAACAACTAAACTACCCTACACTGGGGAATTAGGGAACAGACCATTACAGCGAACACCTAAACTACCCTGCACTGGGGCATTAGAGAACAGGTCACTACAGCGAACAACTAAACGACCATACACTGGGGCATTAGGAAACAGGTCATTACAGCGAACAACTAAACTACTCTACACGGGGGGATTAGGGAACAGTCCACTACAGCGAACAACTAAACTACCCTACACTGGTAAATTAGGAAACAGACCACTACAGCGTACACCTAAGCTACCCTAAACTGGGGCATTAGAGAAAAGGTCACTACTGCGAGCAACTAGACTACCCTACACTGGGGGATAAGGGAAGAGACCACTACAGAGAACAACTAAACTACCTTACACCAGGGAATTAGGGAACAGGTCACTACAGCGAACAACTAAACTACCCTGCACTGGGGCATTAGGGAACAGGCCACTACAGCGAACAACTAAACTACCCTACACTGGGGAATTAGGGAACAGAACACTACAGTGAACACCTAAACTACCCTACACTGGGGCATTAGAGAACAGGTCACTACAGCGAACAACTAAACTGCCCTACACGGGGGCATTAGAGAACAGGTCACTACAGCGAACAACTAAACTACCCTACACTGGGGGATTAGGGAACAGGCCACTACAGCTAATAACTACACTATGAGACTACCTGCGCAATTATTATGATGCATTCAAAAATTCTAGAGCATTCCTTCTGAGTGAGTTCAGCGTTTCTACTGATGTGCTCGCTCCTCAGACGCTCGTTCTGCCTCTCACCTTTTTTTAAGGAGAAATGAGGGGTGAACTCCGTTTTTCTGAAGCAGCTCGCTCTGCAGGTTTTGCTGTGTCTGAATAATCTCTAACATGGAGTGGTGCTGACCAACGTTCCTAGAACCCACTTCTTTCGACATTATCGGGAGGGAATTGATGCATGCGGCCATGCTTTGTCGCCTTATCCCGCTCGCTGCGTGGAGTAGCTGATCGGTCGACATCTGCCATTACAGGCAGTGTCGGTAAGCGTAGTGCCAAGCCGTAATACCGAGACAGCCCTGCACTTGTTGCCTGCTTCCACCAAGTTCCACAAAAACATGGCTCCCAGTGGCAAAATGGGGAAAGGCTATTCAAGTGAAGCTTGCAGCCTATTGGCTGACCTGTGATGTGAAGCTTGTCGCGTTTCAAGAAACGCTCCTAACCCACGTCTGGTACACCATAAGAAATAATATGTAAAGCAGAATAAGTTTTTACAAGCTTTCTGTTTGAACCCGGGTCTAGATAGATATGTGGGGTTTAACGTCCCAAAACCACTATATGATTATGAGAGACGCCGTAGTGGAGGGCTTCGGAAATTTAGACCACCTGGGGTTCTTTAACGTGCACCCAAATCTGAGCACACGGGCCTACAACATTTCCGCCTCCATCGGAAATGCAGCCGCCGCAGCCGGGATTCGAACCCGCGCCCTGCGGGTCAGCAGCCGAGTACCTTAGCCACTAGACCACCGCGGCGGGGCAAATTGAACCCGGGTCTGGTCGGAAACACCCGTCTGAAAGCGATTGCGTTGACCACAAGGATACGCGCCCATACTTGTCAATGTTTATCAAAGCCAGAGGTATTTTAATGAAAGATTTTCAGGTTAGTGTACTAACAGCAACCTGCTAGACAACGCATAAGGTCGATATCAGGAATTGTGCATTTAAGAAAAACAGAGAGTTTAAGAAACTTGAATTCCAAATTCATATTTTCATGATAGCATGTTGGTAACATTCTTTGGTCATTCAAGACTCTCGCGCATGCTATTCAGAACATGAAAGTCCCCACGTGGAATAAATCAGAAAACAGCTTTCTAAGCAAGACTGCTACCTATTACAAAATTGAACCATTACTTTAGCAAGAAAGAAAGAAAGAAAGAAAGAAAGAAAGAAAGAAAGAAAGAAAGAAAGAAAGAAAGAAAGAAAGAAAGAAAGAAAAAAAGAAAGAAAGAAAGAAAGAAAGAAAGAAAGAAAGAAAGAAAGAAAGAAAGAAAGAAAGAAAGAAAGAAAGAAAGAAAGAAAGAAAGAAAGAAAGAAAGAATATGTATGGTTTAACGTCCCAAAACCATCATATGATTATGAGAGACGCCGTAGCGGAGGGCTGCGGAAATTTTGACCACCTTGGGTTCTTCAACGTGCACCCAAATCTGAGCACACGGGCCTACGCCATTTCCGCCTCCATCAGAAATGCAGCCGCCGCAGCCGGGATTCGATCCTGCGGCCTACAGTTCAGCACCCGAGTACCTTAGCCACTAGACTACCGCGGCGGGGCAAGAAAGAAAGCAGTACGCTACAAACGATCATGCCAAGCTCCTGTTATGCCCACTTCCCTCATTATGGAGGGCTCATAGCTTTTTGAAGGAACAACTGGGATCAATCCTGCAGCAATCTGTACCAACTTACTTGGCGCTTGCCTATAGCCCCTACAGACGCTTGCTTTTTCCTTGCTTGCTTTTTCTAGCTCTTGCTTGCTTTTTCTAGTCAAACCTTGCTTTTTCTAGTCCCGATCGGCCGCTCTGACCTGACGGCCCAACGGGTCTTGGTTGAGCGTGCAAGGGCCGCGACCGACGCCAATAGGATCCCGTAATGGGGAGCCCATTTAGTGTTTGCACGGGGCGGCCACCTAAGAACCACTCCCCACCCTCTCTGTATATACCTTCCATGAATAAATTTCACCACCACCACCCTGGATACACGCATGGCTGTTGTATTGGTTTTTTAGAAATATTCACGTGCATTGAGCGCCTTTTTTCGGGTATTCTTCATCGTCCTTGTTTATTCTTCTTTCGTTGCACTGTTTTACAATCATGAAAGAATACGAGCTGGCCCATTTATCAGTGATGTTAAGAAGGTTCTTGAAATAAAACTCAAAAAGGTCTTAGCCTGCCGTTCAGTTCTAACTTACTACAGCAACGAACCGTTTCCTGCTCATTGCTGTAGCCACCGACGGCTGCGATAAAAATCCACGCTAGGCATAGATATATAAACTAGGAACAAATGCTGCTATCACACAGGTCCCGTTAATTCAAGAGGCGATCGCCGGGCTAATTCCAAGGGCCGAAGCATCGGCCCCCCGAGCCGCACCACGAAAGCGTGGAGAATTTAGAAGTGGTCCTTTTTAGCGCCAGCAGACGCCGGCTGTGGCCCAAAGAACAAGTCAGAGCCGAGAGTTGATAAACAAACAAAATTACATTCTCAATAATGGCAGATCAAAAACAATACACAAGTATGCACATTCCACAATAGTTGAGTACAATATGTCACCAATCAAACAACGTACTACAGAGTACAATCAGCCACACTCGAAACAACGGACACAGACAACAATACGCACTACAATGCAGTCGCATGCATTGAACAACCAAGACACTTAAAGACTAAAGGGATAGAAAACCTATTCAGTCCAAAGCTCTTGGAACAAAAGTCTGGATGATACTCTTCCGAGAATCACTCACTCAAAGTCCAGCGTAGTTGTCGTTCCGCTGCCCCCGAAGTTTCTCTTCCAGGGAACCTCTGTCGTTCCGCTGCCCCGAAGTTTATCTTCCAGGAAACCTCTGTCGTTCCGCTGCCCCCGAAGTTTCTCTTCCAGGAAACCTCGCGTCTTCAATTGGCCACTCTCCAAGCTTCAAACTTCTTCGCCGGAAACACGTTGGCTTCACACACGCAGCTGTTGCCACGCGTCTTCGCTCGATAGCGGTAAACACACACACTTCCCTGTAGCTCGGGTCGTCACCCCTCAGGTGGAAATCATCTTCTTCTCCTACTTTGTCTCTACGGACAAAACCTTCGCCGACTACACGGCGGAATCCCTACGCGCTCTGGCGCTAACTTCCGTCTTCTCCTGATCTCCCATCTCGGCTGCTCGATTGAATACCTTCTGCGCGAGATTCCAGAAAGTTCTCATCGTTTCGTCCGCGCGATGCGCAGCGAAGGCTGGGGGAAAACGCGAGACGGTACGAGGGCCGTCCGCGACGGATGACTCAACCCGGCATCACCACGCCCCTTTCCATCTAGAAATTTTGAGGGCTTGCTCGGCCGCCGATGTGGGGTGACGAGGTTCGTCGGCAAACCTACGTTTCCGAGGGGAGAGGGTCACCGCCCGGGGAGTCTTTAGATGCTTGCTTTCTCTTTTTTTTCATCGTTGACCTCGCGGCGTCTCTCCCGCACTTTATCGCGAGAATTTGGCGGCGCGCCCCTTTTGAGCGCTCGTTTTGTGACAGCTGCCTCCTACACGAAAACAATGCTGTTCAGTGTCTCTTCTTCAAAATCGGACTAGATTTTACTATCTACCACATGGTCACTTTTTATGATCGTAGGCAAATATCTGACTCGAATGAGGGCTTTAATTGTGCTTGATGGAATTGTGACCGTAGGATGTAAATTCTCATTTAATGTATTTCAGGACTTGCAAATTTTGCCTCAGCCTGTAGGAAATCAGCAGTAGGTGAAGGTGAAGATATGCCTCATACATACAACGGGGTAAACACAATGGCCCACGAACTGGCGCATACGTAAGTCCATTTTGGAAATAGTTTCCTCAACCATGAGCTGTCATTCAAACGTATCATGTCCACCGCTATTCAGGTTAGGATCACCTCACGACGAAACCCCGGAGTGTCCGTGGGCCAAAGGATATCTCATGAGTTATGTGGACGGCGGATTGAACAAGTTCAAGCTTTCGCCGTGCAGCGAGAAAAGCATCAGACGCTACGTGCAGTGAGTAGCAATACATAAATACTTTCCAAAGTATGCGCTCTGGATTTATAAGGCGAACAAAATGCTCGTTACATGCAAAAAAAGCTGCTCAATATAAATTAAGGACGAAGATGATAAATCGCACTCTGTCATGATTAAGCTTGCGAACTAGAATGGTTAAATGTCAATTTTTATTATGCAAGAGATTGCCAAAGCAACTTATCTCTTTATAATAGAGGGTAATTGGGCTGACTGGGGCGTATTAACAGCATACATGACTAATTAGAGCAAAACAACAACGGACAAGGGGAAAACACCAGACAGGACTGAACGCATTACTTCAACTGAGTGTTTATTCGCAGATAAAAAAAGCACGAATTCGCAAGTGGCGCGGAAGGTTGCGTAACCCGCAAAAGATCACTCAAACACACCCCTCCGCCCCTTTCTACACGTGACTAATTTTATCTCTTCACAAACTTACGCCGACTACACATGCCACACCTAGCCAAGTGGTTTCATTGGCAGATGTCTTTCAAAGTGTGTGCATTCTTTATTTCTGAGAGCCAGCGACGGTTCGCACAAGCACGGATCCCACGCTTTTCATATACAAAAACCCTCCAAAATTTTTCTGTCCTATTGCCCTCTAAACCACCTGAGCACATGGCTGCAGTTCAACTGAAATGTACCCATATATCTTCAGCGATGGTCGGCGAGATGGCCAGCAGCCGTGACAGCAGTCTCTTCTTGCATGGATTCTTGCGAGAGTACAGCAAGTTTGTTTAATTTTTCTCAAACAGCACTCCTGATATTCATAGTACCATTCACGGAGCTGTTAAGGTGAAAACTGTTTCTTTTAAGTCGAATTTGAGGCCTCATTCAGCACTTAATATCCCTATCGGTGGCGGTTCCGTTAACACGACTGATGAGAAAAGAAAGTAATATTTTGAGTCTGTTACTCAAAAGTTCTCTTTCGTTGTCATCTTTCTTTTACGGTCAACCACGAGCCTTCCCGACCAGTCAAGCTTTCGTCGAACTCTTGATTTCATACATAACTAATGAGGACAATGCTCGTGTTTCAAGATCCGAAATAGTTGTATTCAGACTTTAACTACGTGGAGCGCTTACACCGTTGTCAGCCAGACCAATTTGTGTTATCTTTATTATTGCTTACATACCTTCATACGGGTTCTTCTTACGCGCAGGTATCTATCAGAAGAGTGCATCAGAGTCCAGAGTAGCAAGAACTACAACCGGGAACACAGAAAATTTCCAGGACAATCTGTGCGTGCACAGTATCTGTGCCGGAAGTTGCTAAGAGTGAATCAGGGAAGGAAAGTCACCGCAAAAGAGGTAAGTGAGTAAAGAATACTTGAATACTTATATATACCGCATTATGTTCTGCCACAGTATACTATTACATACTATGCTCCGCCAGAGGCTGGCAAAGCTTCGGGTGCGTTATTCTAAGATGATTGGTTCGGATCTCATCAATGGAGAAAATTATTCTTGTTCCACTTTCATTTCTTTCAACTTATGTAACAAGAATTAACTACAGCAAAATAACCATAAATAATACCTTCTATAATTATCCTGACTTAATTGTCAGTCAGTTTCATTCATTGCTTATATAGCAAAAAAACGAGCCTCTTGGAAAATTTCGCTTCTTTCATAATTAACACAGACAATTACATACGGCTTGAAGAAAAACCACCATGCAAAACTTTCTTACATAGTTGATTAAAAGCGTTCCCCTCACCCTCTGTTTTTCTTATAGGGGCTTACAGTTGCGAATTGGTTAACTATTACCTTTTCATATGCATTACTCTAAGAATGAGGCTGATTTCAGCGTGCTAGTGAACTGTACCCAAGGCAAAGCTAGATAATAACTAGAGTTGACGAAAAATAATTAAACATTCCACGCCATACCATGCGCTAAGAGGGCTGCTCTCTGTACACTGAAATTCATGTAGTGTTTTTTTTTTTTTTCAAAGCTGCTTCGATAAATGTCGTGGCTCGCTGGTAAAGCGCCCACCTGACACGCAGATGGCTAGGGTTGGCTCCTTATTCAAACAGCAGATTCTATTATTTATTTCATTTGCGTCTTTTTCAATTTTTCGGGTCCACAGACAAACTTGATTTTTCGCTCACACGTGATGACGCCAACACTGACATTAGAATTTCTACGAATCGAGCTCTTCAACACTATCGCATAAATATTTCATTGGTATGCCGAGTTTCAGCTTTCATTGCAAAAAAAGTATCAAAATATATCAGCGACCCGTCGCAATTGGCGACGACAGGGCCACAAATATAAACAGGTAGCTTCGTAACCCTTCTATCGAAGCTGGGCGCCGTGTCAAAGCAACCGATTGCATCGTTCTAAACGTTTAAGACACGCGAAGTGAAGTACGCTGATGCATGACTGTTTTTTGCGCAACACACACACACACACAAACACACACTGAAAACAGTAATGCATCAGTACCGACTGGCCCAATCATTACCACTAGAACAATGCTGTTTTGACCAAGCACGCACTTTCGCATTTGCACTTGCCTATATTGAACTACGAGCATGATAAAGAATCAGACAAAACATGTAGTGTTCATTCTTTTACAGAGTGCCAACTGCAAAATGCAGTGCTGCAATCGAGCAAGTTTGGGTGGGCCACCTTGCAGGACATACCCCATGCTGGACGGTATGCAGTGCGCACACGGCAAGGTTTGTCTTATTTCTCTGTGCTTTATTTCAATAATTGCCCCGATATCAATTTCCAATGGAAAACTCTCCCGCAACCAGACAGGTGCAGAAAATGCACACTGCCAATAATAATTACTTTTGGGAGTTTCATGTTAGTGTGTCTGTACTGTGCCGGGCACTCCCAACGACCCTTTCGTCGAAGCTCCATGAGGCTCTGCGGAGCCCCGCTCTTTACGACCGAATTTGGGCGACCCATCACGCCCATGAGGCGGCGTCGAGGCAAGCCCTTGACGTCCCCTCATGGGAGCCTTAGGCCCGGCCGCCTAAACCTGCTGGTTTCTTATAGTAAAGTTTATTTCTCCTCCTCCTGGAGTTTCACGTGCTAAAACTACGATATGAATATGAGGAACACCCTGAAGGAAGTCTCTGGATATTTGTACCAGCTGCAGGTGTTCTTTGGCGTGCACTGACATTGCACAGAACAGGGCGCTCTGGCATTTTGTCTCCGCCAAAATGCGACCTCCACGACGAGGATTTAACCCGCAACCTACGGGTCACCAGCCCATAACCGTAACCACTACACAACCACGGCATCCCGCCTGCTGGCCGTGGCTGCCAGTAGCAGCGTTGGCGTCTCGGCTATGTCGTGAAACGTCGAAACACGCACGTTCTCGTGGCACTTGTGAATGAGCATTGTGTCACCATAATAACGCCGTTGATTGATTCAAGAGCATGGAAAGCGAATGATTGCCCGATGCGAATGGACCCAATAAAGCTATCGCATTCCACTCTAAATAAGAAAGCTTGAGGTTCTAGCGAATTCTTGAAATCACTGAACGCCTATACAGTACCAAAGTACGTCGTTAGGTTCGCTCAACAAACCAAAGTCTCATCAGGAGTATTTCCCTGTATTTGTCAGTCAAGCATTGCCTATCAAATTTCTCCAAAAAGCTATGAAGTAAGCCAATTAAAAACGTTGTATTGATCCGATTAGTAAAATGGTATCAAAACAAGCTCCTCCTCTTGCGCGGATACATCGCTTCCAGCAAGATTTAGAGGCATTGAAGGGGTCAGGGAAGGCGTATTGCAGAATGTGCTTTAAATCCTAAATGCAAGCCTGTTTGACTTCGTTGACTCTTTCAAAATATAGTTTTTCATGAATGTTTTCAAGCGCGTAAACAAAACAATGTCCGGCCGAGCCAGGTAGAGACCCTTGGCAACCTTTGGTAAAGTTTCCAATTTCCAGCAATGTCATACTGGGTGCGATGAACCATTCGCTTCCGTCACTTCGGCACATCTATACGCAGAGCTTGGCATTCACGTTCGTGTCATGGGATACCAACTCGTATATCATAATCGGCAAGCCACGTAAGGTCGAAGAACACAATAAGCGTGGTATTGATATTTGACTTGCTCGTTCAGGCTGTGCGAATTTAGGTTAGCCCGCTGCCAGTGGGTTCCCACGAGGCCTTCTTGGAGCCAGGGGACACTGTGGTATGCCGCTCGGCACTGTCACGCTTTCTTTTAGTGCCGTGTTCAAACACACGACACTGACGATAATGTTTGGTGCTTTGTGGCGCAAAGGCCATTTGATGGCCAAAGAGCACCAGTTCATGGGACAAGAGATGCGGACAATGATTGTGATTAGCGACACTGACACTGGTCTCCTGTTATAATGTAGTCTTAAATATGGGGCTCACTATCACGAAAGCGGTAAATTTTTTAGCATGTTTCGATTCGTTGCGATATTTTCATTGTTTACACTCTGGGTTCAATCTTTGCAGACACTTCTCGCATCTGCAGATTATTCCTCAAAATCTGGTGAATGGTCTTTTTTTGGAGCCTTCAATGCCTCTGTCATTAAACGGCCACTGAAATAACGGTCCGAGTTCAGCACGTTTCTCACACGCATCACATTTTCATGAGCGATGGTCCTTGATGTCCGTGAAGCACTGGCTTCATCGCTGACCCCTTCGCGAATCATTATGGAGGCCCTGTGGCACCGGTACAATTGACTTTTCACTGAACGTCAAGTTTCTTATGGTAAAGGCAGTCTTTATCATGGGGAAAATATTCACCACGGTATTGCAGAGTTTCACGAAAAACTTGATAACATTCCCATCTTCCGGCGAGCGCTGAATTGTGGCTTGCAAAGAAAGTGAAAAGAGCTTGACGGATAAGTCTATTTTTACTCACCAGGTGGTACCACATGACAAAGCTACCACGTGTGCCTAAGCTAACTTCCTGTTTCGTAGTAAAAAAAAAACGGCTCGAAAACAACAAGGACGAGACAGATGAAACAGGACTAGCGCTGTCCTCGTTATCTCCCTCTTTCTTTGTTATTTTCGTGTTGTATTTACTATGCATGTGTACCACCAAGCTCAAGTTCACATGCTTCTAACTTCCCTCTTTATTGGCATCAATGGGTCTAAGCATTCTGTGAGGCATAGACACTTTACAGTATATTACCTGAGAACACTTTTCGGACAAACCTTGCATGTCCCGTTTGTCTAGAAGACAAGCTTTGTCATAACTATGTTCATTCAAATGTATTACGAATCGACTTCTGATGTCGGTCAATGTAATACACTTTCTCATTTAAAAGCAAGCAGATGGGCTCCACTGGTAGAAGATTTATCTTCAGATTGTGAAATCAGTCAATAAAACTTATGCGGATACTTGAAGAAGGCATAAACTAACAGTTCAAAATAGAGGCAGTTAGGAAATGTTGTTGTTCAATCTCTTTTTTTTTTTAAATATAATTAGCACCCCTCCAAGAAACGAGGAGTCGGCAGTCTTTATGTCCTCTGCCTAGCTCATTTCATTCAGAGTGACGCTAAATCTACGAAACAGCTTTTTTTAGAGTTCTCCACCAAACTTCCACCTGCATTATTTTTGCCCCGGCTAATCATCCATACTCAGCATTCTCTGATGGTACTTTTCATTTACACCAAGCTTTGTAAGCTGCAATATTGTTTCGCTCAAACATCTACAACAAGACTCTTTCCTCGTGAAAGGGTCAACATTACCATTTCATAAAATTGCTTTGCTCCAGCAGTTAAAGTGCATCTAAGTAAAAGTTGTTTTAAGCATGCAATGGGGATTCACAGTTTACTTACATCATTTTCTTTTTGTTGCAGACTTGCAAAAGAGGAATCTGTGGAGTACACACGTGGACAAACTAAACAATAACATTCGAAAAACATTGGCCCCAGATTGTTGCTTTGGAAATAAACAAACTACATTGCGATACAATGCTGTATATCCATGTTTTTCATGCGTTCTTCTCTAGCCTAAAAGACTGATAGCACCACTATGGGAGAAGCTTATGAGAACTTAGGTACCTGACATTTTTCCTGATGTATAGTCCAGAGAAGCATCATCACAATAATCTAGCTACCCCAACCCAAGCTCTATTATGTATTGCTAACTTTTTATTTGTTTGCTTTTATGCGTTTAGTTGTAAAGATCACCCACAGGCTCAATAGGCAGTTTCAGTACGAGGTGGTGAATATAGGCTCTAGCACTTGCAGGACACATCCATAATCAATCATACTGTTAATGTATAGTGAAAGAAAGAAAAGTATCAAATATAATGTGAAAATAGTCAATAAACCAACAAAATTAAACATCAATAAAAATTGAATCTTGACTCTAAAGATCTTGAGTTATTTTTCAAATCATTATACAGGACTGTCAGGTGGATCTAGATAATTATACGCTAGAGAAATGCGAACTTGAGAAGATTAGATTTCTTGTGTATACTTAACTTATTCTTACTGCCTTAGCTTTACTGTGTTGTTACGAGCATTTCCTTAATCTATGTCGTAAACATTTCTTACCTACAAAGTTTTACTCGACGTCTAAATAAAACATGACATTAAAAGGAAATTACACAATAAAGTATGTTTATCTCGTAGGAATAAATGGTCATTTAACAACATCGAAATTGTCCCTTGTTCACTGAGCAAGTGCTTATTAATACTAAAAAAGCAAAAGATTGACTGGGGGACGCGGCGATTGATGTGCCTGCGCCAACGTTTTATAACGCCAGAAACTTTGGTGGCATTTGCAAGGTCCTACATAGCTCTATATCCGTAAAAATGGATCAAATGAGCCATATAACGGAGTCTAACACTAAACATAGCAATTTTAATGGAATTTTGAACGAGAGCAGTCAAAACAACTATGAATGTGTGTAGGAAAGAAGTGTATGTTCATGGGCTCTATTTCTTTGTTAGACAATACTAATGAGATCTAGAAGGCAATCATGTGAACGATAATACATGGGATCTTATTAGAAGTATTTGTAATGTAATTGTGATGAAAGAAAATTGGACGGAAAGATAACTTTCCGTGAGCAGGAACCAGACCTGTGAACTTCGAATAACGCGTCCGAAGCTCTACCAAGTGAGCTACTACGGCGGCTATACCCCCATCCACTTTATAGCGTATGTATGTGCATTAGGCTTGGGAGCGTGAAACAACGCACGTGTAGCCATGATGGCGAGTGTGTAACACTCTTTCAGTGCCTGTTTGGCATGAAGTAGACCGTGATCTTATTATGAGCTGGCAGCTGACCAATAATCCCTCGCATACGACCTCTAGAGCATTCCACACTCACCGTCATGGCTACTGATAACTCTGACTGACGCTCCACCGCTTAACGCACATATATACCCTTTAAAGTGGACAGGTGGATCACCGGTGTGGTAGCTGAATCGGTAGAGCATCGGAAGTGTTATTCGAAGGTCGCTAGCTCGGTCCCTGCCCACGGCCTATTATCTTTCTGTCCATTTTTTCTGCCATCACATCTACATTACAATTGCTTCTAATAAAATTCTCTAAACTTTCCTTGGCATGATTGCCTGTTATATCTCATTAATATGGGTGTGCGTGTTTCGTGGTGGTTCAAGGGACAAGTGTATTATTGTAGGTCAAATGCGAAAACTCACGTGGTCATTTATGCATCTTCCTAAGGTGACTAGAAGGCAAAAGTCATCTTCTGTTTCTTCTGAGTCATTGTTTCAATCCTCATCCCCCAGCCGCCCACCCTTTGAAAACTTTCCGCATGTGACATACTTTTCGGAGGGAAGAGGGGCACGATCACATATTCATTTCAAGCGACCACATGAGGGATAATTTCTTTTGCCACGCCAACGTTTCAAAAAATGAAATCGCATCTATCACAGTCACGTGATTATTGTGGGTCTTTTTATTCGTTTAATCACGCGACCACCACAGCGACGAACTGAAACCGCAGTTCACGCACTTCAACTCGTCTAAAGTGGTTGAGAGGACATACACTGTCCTTGGCCTACACTGGTCTTGGGCTTTCAACGAAGGGCCTTTTCGTGAAGCTTTTAAGGCTTTCTAAGGCCCTCGCCTATAATAAAGGAGTGCCATACTTTACGCAAAGTTTACATTAAGGTTTTATTGTGCAAATAAGTTTTGCGAAACCTCGCAAGGTCGCAGAAGAGTCAAGAGAAACTTACAACCAGTTAACCGTTCGCAGCACGAAGCGACGAGGAAATTCACGCGGATTTATCAAAAAGAACGTTGCTCTTATTTCGGCACGTTCTAGAAAAAAACTTGAGCTTAATTTGTTTTTTAAGTAAGAAATCCACAATAAAAATTTTAGTAACAATGCTCTTCACGATCAAAAATTTAGCAGTGTTAACTGATTTTGTGTTGCCACATCAGCCATCTTGTGTGGCACTTCCGGTTCATCTAAAGAAGAAAGAAAAGAGCAGAGGAAAGCCATCGTTGAGTTCGGCAACTAACATTTCTAAAAGGCATTGCGTCAGTGATGTATTTTAAGACAGCAAATGTCGAGAATTCGTCATCAAGATCCTAGGCATGCTTATAGTTGCTTGGCACATGAACAATAGCCAAGCCGACACTATTGGAGGAAAAGAACATCTGTGCACGTTGGAGTTTCGATGCATCCGTGACAAACAGAGAAGGAGAACATGATTGATATTTAGCATAACGTAGTTCGACATATTGTGGGCCTAAACATCGTGCCCGAAAAGTCACATCACAAAATGTTCATACAGTGTTTCTGTCCAAATAAGGGAGCAACGCGCTTGCAGATTGACTGCAGGAAACGTTTTAGACAACATAAACAGAGGGAAACATTGTGAGTCTACGAAATGGCGCTGAAATCGCTAAGGAGTCAGAATCACGGCGGCATTTTTTTCTTCGACTTTTTAGTATCACCCTACTGAATGGTGTATTAACAGTGGAGGTGTTTCACGCCAATCTAAATACCTGGGGATTGTTATCCGTACATTCTAGCCCAGCTGCGACCGTGAAGCCGGACAAGAGGAAAAGCAAGATTAAAGCTGAGTAAGTGAGTGGGAAGTCTAGTGCAGTGAGTTGAGCATGGTGGGGCAAATGTAGCGACGAGGAGAGGATGAAGAAGGGTAGTGGGAAGGAGAGCAAAGGCAGAGCAATTGTGGGAGTGACGCATGTTGGGGAGGTGGGGACTGGCTTACAACCATCTTCAAAAAACTGAGGTTCTGCACGTTTGTGCTGAAAAAGTTCGGGGATACCCAAACTAAATATGACGCCGTCTGCTTCACTTTTTCGTCTACGTTCCTAACGTCAAGTCACCCTATGCTGCGCAAAGCTTTTTTTTTGCGGTTTCAGCCTTTAGACAACAAAATTAAGCCCAATTGAGTTGCCCCATTGTCCGATAGTTTGACTAATTTGAGTAATTTCAGTAAAACTCTACTGGGCTTCTAGCAAACTACTGGCCTATCTGAACGACTTCGAGTCGATCGTTTTCATCTGTGCGTGCCCGTGTTTTGTTCTTGTTTACTTTTTACCTCTCTCCCTCTCTCCCTCTCTCCCTTCTCTCTCTCTCTCTCTCTCTCTTTCTCTCTTTGAACCCCATAATCGCCAACCCCAATTCAGAGTAGCATGCCGGATCCTAGCATCTGGTTAACCTTCCCGCCTTTCTTCTTCCTCGTTTTTATCTCTCTCTCTCTCTCTCTTTATCTGACATATATTCGTAGTTGCCCATGGTTATAGCATATTTGCTATCATTTAAAATTTAGAGGGTCTTGCGTCTTCGGGTACTTGTTTGCAATATGAAAAGAACTTTTCAAAACATTTGACCTAAAGGTCATTAGTTACACTAAAAACACGGAGCCCTCTGACCAGGGCTTACGTGTGATTGAACTTTCCATCCAGCAACTCTCTGCACCGCCACATGTAAACAAGCACTTGAGATAAATGTCTCCATATCACGGAAATAAATGCTGCGGTCAGAGTCCTTTTTATTTCTAAGTTGCGGTGCACCCGATGCTAACGGAAGTGTTTGATATGAAAGTGTTTGTCTTACTCGCGAGTCTCCTCCTGTGTTCATCCGCCCGTAAGGTTTTTTTTTTGTTTTTTTACTGGAAGAATACGTTTACACCAGCCAATCATAGTCCACAAGTCTCTCATGGCCGAACTTCATGTGAATGTATTTTTTTTCTTTTGTGATTAACATTCTAAAGCAGGAAAACAACAACATGTGTACCCAATAATCTTGGAAGCGAGGTCAACTGCAAGCAAGCTTGTTCTTCGAATTAACGACAAGATTACCCTGAACCTAGAAAGAAGTGAAGTATTGGCGGATGAGTTGCATTTCATGACCGTAACGACTGAAGAACATGAAATCGAAACGGTAAGTACGCAGAGACAAATACTAAAATTTTGGGGGAAAGGGACTCTTCAACCAAAACAGTCAGTGTTGCGGCAGTGAAAATTGTAGTTCCTAAATTAAAACCAACGGTTCCTAACCTACAGTAAGTGATTACAGGTATACCTGTTCACAAAAAAAAAAACATGGCCACATAGCTCTATTTCATGCAATCAGGTACATATTTCGGCATGTACAACCTTCTTGCCTTATCTGATGAAAGGAAAAGCACCCAAATTTGTAGATAAAGATCATATATCCCTATTATCACCACAGTTAACGTTGCGGAACAATAAAAAAAATCACAAAATTCTAAGGAACATTTCGACGGTGCCAAAGGTATGCGCAATGAGGGGCTGAGAAAAAAAAATATTCATGCCTAGTGCTGAGCAACGAATCGACAAAACTGCACCCCCCCCCCTCCGCCCAATTGTATTTAATGAAGAAACAAGTTCCTCGATTCATTCCCCTTCTTTCGTTCTTTAGCCAGAAAAATTTCCTGATAGGTTTGCTACGTTTAGGCAGCGTGAAAAAACACTAACTGCTACTTATATGCCTGCTGACAAAGTGACAGTGCTAGACACTCGCCGCTATGGCTGCGAGTGACGCTCTGTGATAGCCCCACGGTTATACTGTTATAAATACCCGATAAAGTTGACGTACGAACGACGGCCGCCGTACCTAAATTGGTAGGCCAGTGGACACATAGTTGGAAGGTTGTCACTTAAGTCCTGACTGACATCACGTCTCTTTAACAGTGGAGCTGTTTGAACTCGTCGAAACCCCGTTAATCGTGAACAAAAATCAGCATCTTAAACCAGCAAGCCCCCTTTTCGGCCTCTTGGTCCACCTTAAGACCAAACACTGTGTCCTTCCGTCCATACACCACCACTCGGGTCTACAGCAGACGTAGAAACCGAAACTTCTGTGTACAACAAAAGCTATCAAAAGTGTTAAGCAGAACAAACAAAATGAAAGGCCGCCACACTGGAAAAACATTGACAATTAACTACCGATCAATGAAAGCGTATGAGAGAAGAAAAGGTTAACAAGAACAAAATCAAAAGCCTGTTAACCAGACGAAATAGAAGTCCGCAATTTATGATTCTATGCACACTGCTCTGCTCCATCGCAAGCATTCACTTCGTTTATATGCGTGAATTTTTTTTTCCTTTTTGATATTCTTCGCTCACAAACATGCGACTTATTTAGTACTGCAGACGATTGTGGTAAGTCTGAGGAGTGGGAGAACGAGTATAAAAGTATAAAGATGAACGAAAAGAAATACACAGCAAAATTTCTAGCGAAATGATTTCTTGTCGAGGCAGGATTAGTAACTGTCATCCCGCGATCCGATGGTGAGCAGGGCATATAGCATACCCTTGTATAGCAGGAGGGTGAGAAAGAAAACTGAGAGCTGAGGAGGAGAGATTGTGAAGCAAAGCATAGCCGTGTATAGTACAGAAAGAAAGGTAATAAAGAGGGAAAGGGACAAGGAAATAGATAAAGATATCAACACAAGAGGAAGCGGATTGATTTGTGGGGTTTTTAACGTCCCAAAACCACCATTTGATTATAAGAGACGCCGTAGTGAAGGACTCCGGAAATTTTTGACACCTGGGGTTCTTTAACATGCACCCAAATCTGAGTACACGGGCCTACAACATTTCCGCCTCCGTCGGAAATGCAGCCACCACAGCCGGGATTTGATCCCGCGACCTGCGGGTCAGCAGCCGAGTACCTTAGCCACTAGACCACCGTGGCGGGGCAAGAAGAAGCGGAAAAAGCAAAGCAAGACAGAACTGGAAACATAGAAAGTACGAAAAAAAGGTAATTAGCAATAAACAAAAAGCAAGCCATTGGAGAAAAGTAAAAAGAGGGTTAAAGAGAAAGAAACAGATGAAGTTATTAAAGAACATAAATAAACACAGACTGCAAAAACAAAAAAAAGAAGGCTCCCTAATTCAACTCTTCTTTCGGGCTTGGCACCAATGGTTTGAAACTGCCTTCATTTTTTTTCTTGTCCACTTTAAATCTTTTCCTTTTATTTATAATTATAACACATCATCTTGAGCCTGACTCCTCCCACTAAAGGACAAAGGCCTCTGCCATGATCCGGAAATCAACCCCGTCTTGTGCTATCTGCAGCCACGTTTCACATGCAAACTTTTTATTCTCATCGGCCCACCTAACTTTCGTCTCCCCTTCGTGTGTTTGCCTTCTCTGGGAATCTAGTCAGTTACTTTTAATGACCAGTGGTTATCCTGCCTACGTGCTGTGTGCTCGCCCCACGTTCATTTCTTTTTTTTTTCACTATGTTATCCTTAACCCTGGTTCGTTCCCTCACCCCCTCTTATTTCTTCTTGTCTATAAAGGTCACACCTATTACTTTTTTCTTCCATCGCTCACTGCCTCGTCCTCAGTTTAAGCAGAACCCTCTTTGTAAGCCTCTAGGTTTCTGCTCCATAGGCAAGTACCGGCAAGATACAGCTGTTATAAGCCTTCCTCTTGAGGGTTAGTGGCTGATTACAATTATTGATTTGAGAATGCTGCCGAATGTGATCCACCCCATCTTTATTCTTCTAGTTATTTCATTCACATGATTCTGCCCTGCAGTTACTACCTGTCCTAAGTAAACATATTCCTTTACATTATAAACTGCAAATTATCTGCATCTTGCTTTCCTTGGCTTCATTCGGCTATATCCAACAAAGAAAAAGCACCTCATTGCATTCTCCAGCGTACGATCGTGTCATTGAAAAGTCAAAAGTTCCGGCGTTTGCCCATTTTCAAGTGAATCTAACACTGGTAATTTTATTTCTAATGGCTTCGAGGGACGGTACTGCAGTTCAGCTTTGGCGTTCAGAAGGGCGGTACTTTACGACATACCTTTCGTCGCACAACAGTGATATGCGAGTTAGTGCTAAAATGTCTGTCGTTTGAACACGTTCAACATATAATGCATGTGGATCAGGTGTATCTAAGATTATCTTCGTAATGACTTGAGAATCTTCTGCAGATCAACACAGCCTCTGTTCAACAAAATATTTATCACGACAGCAACGAGCGATCATCTCTAATGCTACAACGCAAAGACGGAGTCCTTTACGTGGTAAGTGTCCGAGTGGAACCGACTTGAGGCATATTATTATTTTTAAATGGCTAGATATTCTCCGTGATAATTAGAAGAAACAACTAGTGGAAAGACTTATTTAACTTGTGGGCATTAAGTACAAAAAGAGGAAGAATACAGGGAGGCCAGAAAAACCAGAGAAGCTTCCGGTTGACGACCCTGCACAGGCAGACTATTGTAGGAGATAGAAAGATAAGAAAGAGAAAAGAGGTAAGAGAATAAGAAGAGAATAAGAATAAGAGGAAAACAGCGCATTCTCGGCAGCGTACAATACCGGATCACACGTCAGATGCGTTTCCACAAGCCTGCCTTTCTCAAAAACACTAGAGTGCCCAGGCCTGTGGACTGGTAACAAATTTTCAACTCATAAATATTGAACAAACTGGGTTGTCTGTGAAAGCATAGTAAACTATAAGCGTTGTTCAGAAGTTTTTTAGCAGTACGCAAAATATGTGGAAGGCTTGAAGCTGTGTTACCTGTCCAAATTTAGGATAACACCTCGCCGTCATCGGTAAGTGTTGTGTAAGCCAGCAGATAGGCCCGCATAAGGCCATGCGTAAATGTTGCATGCCTAAAGGAATAGATTCCCTGAACGTCTATCCTGTATGCCCCAACAATGAGTAAAACTGAGTAAAGGTAAATGACACGCTAATACTCATTCGGTTTTATTTCATTTTACTGTAGGAAGGTATTGTGAACAGAAAGCTGAGAATCAAACCGATACCCGAAGGCGAGCGCTCCGCACAAGGCCACACGCTTCATAGTTTGTATGAAGTGCAAGAAAGAGGGGAAAATTTGGCGAAGATGGGTGCATATTATCGACGTCCACCTGGTAAGTACAGAAAACATCATTTCTCTCGTGCATTATTTTGCGCAACCGGTGTTTTTGTACATTTCTATTAGAGGAGGAGGAGGAATTAAGGAGGAAGGATAGGGAGGTTAGCCAGTTCTCAGACCAGCTGCAGGGCTACCTTGTATTTTTTTTTTGGAAATGACTATATATATATATATATATATATATAATATATATATATATATATATATATATATATATATATATATATATTATATATATATATATATTATATATATATATATATCATAACGCGTTCGATGCTCGAACGCGTTATTAGGAGGTCGTAGGTTCGATTTCTGCTCACGGCAAGTTATTTTTCACCCGCTTTTCTTTCTTCTTGTTTACTTCACATTGGTTCTAATAACTTCCCCAATACATTTTTTTGGCATTATTGTCTGTTAGATATCACACACACACCACACACACACACACACATATATATATATATATATATATATATATATATATATATATATATATATATATATATATATATATTATATATATATATATATATATATATACTATATATATATATATATATAATATATAATATATATATATATATATATTAAAGGGAAAAAAGTGTATACCTAACCGGCTCGTTTTTCCGTGTTTTGACACAATATTAATGAGATCTAACATACAATAATGCCATGGAATGCATAGGGGAAGTTATTTGAACAAATGTATTGTAAATAAGAAGAAAGAAAGGTGGGTAAAAAAAATTACCTATCGTGAGCAGGAATCGAACCTTAGGCATACACTTCTTCCCCTTATTCATTAACAAGGGTCTCGTACTGGCAGACTTGGTGCCCTTAGGTTGTATACGAGGGACTATTGGTCAGCTGCCCGCTCGTAATAAGTTCACGTGCTACGTGACGCCACACAGGCTCATAGAAGGGTGTTCCACACTCGCCGCTTGCCTACAGATGGCGCTGACTGACACTCCCACGTTTAAATTCACATATAATTTAAAAAATGGATTGAGGGAAGGCCGCCGTGATAGCTCAATGGTTAGAGCATCGAACGCGTTATTCGAAGGTCGTAAGTTCGATTCCTGCTCACGGTAGGTAATTTCTTCACCCACTTTTCTTTCTTCTTATTTACATTACATTCGTTCTAATAACTTCCCGTATAGTTTCCTTGGCATTATTGTCTGTTATAATATATATATATATATATATATATATATATATATATATATATATATATATATATATGAAAATTTCGTTTTAATGTTACTACATTGTTCCAATATACAATTTTGTTTCTCTCTTTTCTTAGCCTGTCATGTTATTTTTCGGAACCAATCGGAATGAACATAACAGAAATCAACTTATAAACGAAGTTCACAACTGTCGCATATATTTTCGCAGCATATACAAAATTTGTTTTTTCCGCAGCAATGCAACGGAACCTACGAATGATTGAATTACTCGCGAGAACATATATTTCCTTGCACAAACGCTAGTGAGCTATAGGTCTATGGACAGTATTAATATACTGCATATGCATACCTTGCTGACACAAAACAAATTATCACGAAAAGCCCGGCTGCTTCACGTGCAAGTGGTGGAGGCAGGTTGTGCACTGCGTTTGCAGGCAGGTGAAACGTAGACGGCACCACATGTACTTTTTCTAGCTTATTCATTCCATTGTTCACCATACTAAAAGAGAAATATAGCATGGACATTCAGCTTACCGAGCCAAACATGACGCTTTTTCGAGCTACTCTTCAAAACTAGGTACTTTTGTTCAACGACAAGTTCAGTGTGTTTTTACGGATCGAAGTTTTATGTCATTTGTTTTGCTTTCGTACCAGGAAGAAAGCTTATGAACTAACCACTAGCCAACAACTGATTCACCTGTGACTGGTGCACCAATACAATAAGACAGAAACTACTAAGGAATTTTACCCGATAGCATAACCCAACATATAACCCAGCTCATACGAAAACTCTCCTAACTCTCATTCACAAATTTGGCATCTCTTTAATACTCAACAACTCTCATAAAATCTTGGCGCCATGTATTAAGTTAATGGCAAGAACAAATAGAATATACAAAACAAATATCATAGGTCGTAAAATAACTCAATTCTCTGCGTAGAGCACCAAATTTTGTTTAGGCATGCGTATCCCGAGTATTCTGACAAGAGGGTTACAATGCCAATTCTTTCAGTTTTTAGCTAAATAACGTGCAGACCTTGTAGATCAGTGTGCCAAAGTATCATATCCTTCTTAACTAGATCACATGACTAACACATTGATCGGTCTGTAGGCACGTGTAAGCACGCATAAGTCAAAATCGGCTGTCACGTCTCCACAACACATTCGAATGGTGCAGTGCCGTGCAGCATTACAGGCGTTCTTTGATTGGGAACTATAGAGAGATCAGACCAAAATGGTGAAGAGGGTGGCAGTCGCCTTTTCATTGGGGTTAACGCACCTGCTATTAGTTGCATACGTGACGCGGATGGGTCCAGGTCTCTCTGTTTCACATTCGACCCGCTGAAGGTCATGTTCCTATGTACATATTTCAAGCGCTGAACACTACAAATCACCACCATATGTAGCATGACGATGCAGTCTCTACCATTTAAAACTATTTTTCGAAGATTAAAAAAGATTGAGTCCTTCAACGCAACTGATATTGAGAGGTTAACGTGGCGATATTAAGAACTCCCTGAATAGTAGAGCTTCTTTCTCTATCAGAATACTTCGCCAACTAGGTGAAAAGTAAGTAATATATCGGTTTGTTTCAACCAACTTGGAGGATGAGACCGGTTTATTGACGACATAGGGTGGTGGTTGTTCTGAGAAGAAGTTAGACTCTTTTTCAGTGTTGTAAGATGGGAAATAGTTGTACATACTCAAGTCATCATGAAGGCATAGGCAATAAACATGTCGAAATTATGGCTCCTGCTGTTGGCGCCATTTAGCGCTTACATTGTACTGACCAGTTACCATGAAATGAAAAATCATGCATAGGTATACGGTGTACTCGTTTTTTATTACTTGTTTTGTTTGCTAGAATAAATCAACCTGGGTGAGTAGCAACTTATTGAGCTCTGTTGACGTCGTTGTCGTCATTGTCAATATCGTCATTGTCGTTGGCATTATCGTCGTTTGCGTTATTGTCGTTGTCGGTGTCGTCATTGTGGCTGCTGTTATTGTTGTTGTCGTCGTTGTCGTCGTTGTTTACCAACCCCCAACACTCTTCAGGAAATGTGCGATCACCATACTGGGGACGGAGACCGACTGCCACACGCCCGGAACGGTATACCGGTCAGTACCTCATCTACAACATGTCCCTAGTTGTTCAGTGTGCGTAAACATAGCTTACCCGGCATCGAAACAGCTTTCGCGAGATTGTTATTAAATGCGAAGCATTTTCTTGCATACTCCAAGCAGTTTTGGTGTCTATCTACGTATCTATCTATCTATCTATCTATCTATCTATCTATCTATCTATCTAGCCGACTACGTCTGCATCCTCTCGTGATCACCTTCTTCCCTTGGGGTAAACCAAAATAGGTGTGGGAGGGTAAGACGGTCTATACAAAAACAAATCACTTGTCATGACATGAATAATCTCACAATCCCGTCGCGTACATCGTCAATCACTTTCCGCCAAACAACTGCACACACCCGCTGGCGGGTATGTGCCACTCGTATGTGGGTATGTGCCGCAGGTGATTGACGCTTCACATCTACTCAGGCATGGCGAGAACATACATGGGTAATATTAACACGTGAGCGTTAGGAAAAACGTGACATCGGCTGCGTTGAGCCAATGAATGTAACAGAAAAATGTCACGGTTCCAGCGGGAATCAAACCCAGGCATTCTGTGTGGCAACAAAATATTCTACCACAAAACCACGCAAGGTCTCACAATTGCTTTTCCGATAGACTGTTATGTTCGTGAGCCGTCGTCAGTTAGGGATACAGTCATGCATATCCAGTTTTATGAACATTATATATGTACACCAATAATACAGCCGTCACGTCGGGTTAACATCAACTGTAGGTAAGCACCGTGCACTGAAGGTGGTTGGCAGTTTATATCAACATAGGAAAGGTGCGAACAGACAATGGTAAAGTTAATTCGAGAGTTTTAAGAAATATTCGCGCATCTACGCAAAATCAATGATGACGAGTGGGTGAAGCAATACTTCCCAATGCCCTTAATGTCTATACACGTTAAAGTCGCCCACAAGCATAAATGACGGACAGATGGCAGAACGGACGGATGGACGAAGGGATGTATGCACGGATGCATAGATGGACGCACGAATGAATGCATAGACGGATGGACGGACAAATAGATGGACGGACAGACGGACAGGCGCAAGGAGCGGATGATCATATATTGTGCTGTCGTACGGTTGATTACACATAAAGTTGGTTGATTACAGATCTGGTTTTGTTTTTTGTTGCGCAGGTGTTCAGTTTCAGTTTGGGTTTTGTGGGGCGCGATGCATGCCAACTATAGGTCGGCCTAAGAAGCTTCTCCGATAAAAGTTGGCATCGGGAACGTTGACTCAACGAATGCATAGAATAAATGTGGTCCCCGCACGAATCAAAATCTAGCATTCTGCGTGATATCAAGTATGCTACCACAGAGCCACGCTAGGTCTCGGAAATTATTTTCAAGTAGACTGTAATGTTCGCTGAATGTCAATTAGGATGACAGTGCTGGTTATCTAATCCTATAAACAGTACACATGCACTCCCATCACACAACCATCACGTCGGGTTAACGACTAATGTAGTGAAGCGCAGTGCACTGAAGTTCATTTATGCAGCAGTTTCCACGGCCGCCATCCTCGCTGGCGAAAGCGCTAGACGTCAGCTTACCCTTATGTTGTTGCTAATATCCATGTTGCTGTTGGCATCTTTACGTAACAGTAAGTATGTGACTGTTTAACATATGTCGGGGGGTTCAACATGTGTACATATCTTTAGCGTGATTTCATTTTTCATTTCATTTTCATTTTATTATATGTCAGCCCCATTTCGTAACGTTTCACTCAATAAAAAAATTACGACGTAGCCGTTTTCCCTCCGCATGTTTTGCATAACACCGATTCCCAAGGTGCGTGGGATCTGCCAAATTTTTTTTTATAGACTTCGCTATTTTGTCCCCGTGTTCTTTGCTACGACTATTTTACGAGGAAATAAGTAGTTACGTGAAGAAAAAGGAAGTGACCATGCACCAGGTGTTTGGCTATTACTACAATCTCTAAAAACACTATAACAAAAACGCCTTTGTTTTGAGCTAGCCAATAGCAGCCAAGATGTGAGCAATAAACGTCCTGATGAAATCATTTGTAGCAATACGTGTGAACTCTAATCAAGCTTTTCTTTACACTAAGAGTCTCACATCGAACCTCAAAATTGCAGGAATGTATGAAGCTCTCGCAATAGCATCGTCATTTTTGTAATGAACAAATTCATTGCATAATAAACAGCGTGTCATGGTTGATGGTATGTTGGTATAACAAATATTTACTGAGGGTTACTAGTTATGTGAAGCACCCTCATAACTGTAACTGATGCTGTAGCAGTGAAAATGCAGCAAATCTTCAGCAAGGCTCGCAGTATAGCACTTTTCGTCTACACTCCAGCTGTTCGTATCACATATGCTACTGATATCAATTCATAAAAAATAATATTTTACCTGAAGGCTTTTTGATTACGTGAGTATCGCGTCCCAAAGGCTTAGTTGTTGAAACTGTGAGCCTTATAGTCTTAGACATAACTACGTTGTGACTCCATAAAGTGAAAAAATTCCTATATTACAAAACACATGCCTTAGCAACAAGCACAACTATCCGTATGCTATCAATATACTTGGTAGTCTATTGGTACTTTAAGGGCCACCGTAAAGACGCCATTTTATCGCCTACAACAATATATGGACAGAGTTCAATAAAGTTTCAGCCCAAGTTGTCGAAGAGACACCAAAGCGAAACAATGGCTTGGTTCAAATTGACAAATTGCACTTTGAGAACTCTAATACTATGTCTCACTGCCATAGGTTAATTATTGCCGGAAAAAGTAAGCTGAAGTTTCATTTTTTTAATATGGTGCTGATTACTCCGCGAGTGACGTCAAGGTTTTTCAAAATGCATTTCCCGTACTTTTTCGTAATTGGCTCGATGAAACTTTTTGAAGCTTCGTTTGCTGCGTTTATGGCCCCCATAGACGACAATTTACTTCCATTTTACTGGTTATAAGTTGCATTGTACGCAGTAGGTGCCTTGAAGATGTATGACGTGATGCTGTCTGGTGCGGAAATCTCAAGGGGGCGTGTCTCCGCCCGCATTTCCATTTCGCGTGTTTTTTTTGCTTACCAAGCGTGGTGTCGTGGTAAGAGTGGTGTGTTCGAAATCGTGAAATCTCGCTTTACTAATGCGCAAAAAATAATTCTGCTCTTTACTGTTCCTTTAATTATGATTATGGTAGACTCCCAGACTACAACGTCCACGGCATCTACAATGACGGCCAGAAGGCCAGCAAATAGTTTTGTGGTTGATCTTCATATAATTTCTGACCAAGAGCACAACCAGAATTTCAAATCCAAAGAAGACTTGATTGGCTACTTGGCGATCATGGTGAATGCGGTGAGAACGCTACATTTTATATTTGTTCTACTTATTTTTGTTTTATTTTGTGTTACTTCTTTTTCGCCATCACACTTCTTCAGCCTGATTCATAACTCAGAGTATGTAATGATGCAGTCAAAATAGAAAGAACGATTAGATGAAGTGTGAAAGTTCACGATACCATTCATATAGTTTTAAACCATATTTTTTTTAAACACAATCTGCTTCATCTTTTTTTTTTCTTTACCAAGTTTGTAAGCAGTCGGCAGGCTATGTTTACTTTTTACAAGCTTACAGTTTGATGGGTTTGTTACAAATGTGTTGCTTTACTAAAGCACTTTCGTCACACCAATATATGCATATTTTACGAAAGGTCTTGAAATTCAATGGCACTGGGTTCCTCAGTGCTAAGCGAGAAACAGACAAACTCGTTCACACTTCATCTTAACCTTCACCGAGTGCCACTGCTTCTCGTTCAGTGAGCGGATGCGCACACAAGTACACTGCAATTGCACTCCACTACAATCATTATTCATGCTGTGGGATGAATCTGGTGCCTGAACACTTGTTTAGGCATGAGTATTTCGCAGTTGTCCGCTTTATTTTCGAACCACGAAGCGTGTACAATAATTAAAGTAGCAGCCATTGTCAGTAGGTGGGCAATTCGTCACGTGTCATTTCTCCCACAACTATTGTTGGAATAGAGTCTTCGATGACGTTATATGCGTGGTGCAGAGACATAAAGACATGACGAGAACTAGTGCAGTAACAATGCTGAAAGATGCGTTGGTTGGTGTACGATTTAAGATGAAAACGTGTTCGTTTTAGAGAACGTTATGCTTGTTGCTGGCTTTCGTCTTGAATTAGCTCGATTTGTGAAAATCAATGTAACTTTAGTAAATGAGTTACAAATAAACTGGTTGAAGTGACTGGACTTATCGCGAACACCTTTCATGATTTTTTTTTTCAGGTAACGCTAAGATATCTCGAAATAAAAATGCCTAGCATTACATTCAGGATTGTTGGAGTGACTATGAGCAAGGTGAGTCCAACATAGCTATACAATGAAAAACTTCTCAGAAAACTTCAGCTTGTCAAATTTTTTATTGTTGTAGCATTTTATTTATTGATATTTATTCTATTTACATACTTCCAACTTTTTTATTAATGCTCTTGAAGGCAGCACGTATATGTTATTAAACAATCAAGGACCCTTCATGATGAAACAAGCGCCAAAAAAAATAAAACACTCAGAAAGGACACAGCACAAGTGCCTACCAGCAACTGAATTTTTTTATTTCAAGACGAGCACTTATATATGCATAACACGCATGTACGTGATCTCAAACCACCCCAGTTATCATAAACAACGTGATATACCAAAAAAAAAAAACACCCATATCGATGGAACAGAACCGGAAAAACACGCGTTAAGTCGCTCAAAAATACAAAAAGAAAATATAAAAAGAATATTCACTGACTTATGTTACGTCCAAAAAAAAAAGAAATTCCGCATCTGTTAGTGGAACAGACGCTCGACTGACGCACTTGTCACCTCCTTTCTTAATTTGATACGCTTCCATTATTTTTCTCGTGGTACGCTTCTTGTGTTCGTCAATTATTCGTGTGTCTGAAAATTTCGGCTGGCAAGTGCACTCCTTGCAGTGCACCGCTAAGTGCGAGGGCGGGGACCTCTTAAGTTAAGCATATATAAGCGTTCGTTTCGAAAGGGAAATTTTCAGTTGCTTTTTGGCGCTTGTTTCATCATGAACTTATGCCAACATGACTCTGCCTTGTTATACAGCTATGATGTGTCCGTTCATATTGCTTCAAAAGAGTTGACTGTTCGGGAGTTCGTTCTTTGACATAGAAACTATTGTGAGGGCGCAACTAAACAAAACACACAGGAAGAAATGGACGAGAGCAGTGTGTTGTGTTTAGTAGCACTGTCACGATGGTTTATATGCCATATTGCGTCGTTAATGTATGATTTACGTGTCAGTGCCGCAACCTTCAGCGATGTTTGAAACCCGAGCTGCAGGGTCGTATTTATGAACGAGTTCCTTACGGGAGGCGTTGCGACCCGAATCAGATGCTGTGTATTTTTTTATTCAAACGCAGGCCGACGTATTTCTTAGCCACATTCTCGGCACAATAGAGGCATACGAAACTCTCGCGAAACTGGAAAAATATTACAACGACGATAACATTCCAGGAAACCCTGATGTAGTGTTCCTCCTAACTAAGTGAGTACTAAGAAAAATCTTGTCATAACCCAAGGCAGCCATACATGTACGAATTTTCGAAAGCATTCAGTGTCATTTTTGTGACCATGAGATAAACTTGCACAGTGTTTACCTATATTACCCATCTTTTGTTTCGTCCTATTTCTATATCGCTGTTGTGCTTCTTTGCAGTCGGGATATGTCTACAGCTAGGGGCACATCTCTTGATAAGAATATTGCAGGTAAGAGTAGTCACTTAGCACTTCGTTTCATAATAGAGTAATTTCAATGAGATGTAACCATACCTGTATTGTATACTGTACAGCATTGCTTCTTTTTTTCTGAAATTTAGTATGGTTGTTGAAATAACAAGCTTACAAAGTGCTTGTTGAGAAAGTAGAAAAAAACTTAGAAGCAGTTAAAAAGGATTAGTAATTTTTTAGCGATCTTAGTGACGTATTACACCTCAAATTATTTGTCGTAGCAGAGCTCGAGTAAGCAAAATAAAATGTCTCAACAAAAAAGGAAGTGTTTACTTTGATAGTGTCACGGCTAGGTATTTATTTGACGATGGTCTCTCATCTCGTCTTCAAGCTTATTTTGGGCGTGTAGAAAAAGAATGCTGTGTGTGGACTTTTATTGCTCAATAACAATACAATTGCGTCAATAAAAAGGTGGATTTCAAATAACACATGATGTTTCTTCTTAGCTAGACAGGAAGCATTATTATTGCATGAATCAAGCAGAAAACGTAAACGTAGGAATGACAATCTAAGAAAGAATGGGTCAGTATTGAATTCTGTGTGTAAATACGTGGATAAACGCCTGATGCAGTGAGATCTATTAAAACGTTATGTAGGGGCGACCGAGCGACTTAGGGGGTTCTTACGCATCTCAATATTTTATCGGCGAAGCTGCATCAGCTCGTAATATAAAGTATGTCAATGCCAAAACTATCATCATTAAGGTTATGTGTAAGAGAACTTGGGCCACTCCCAATACCCACCACTAATACAATAAAACAAAGCGAGCAGCAGACGGCCGTCAAATACCAATTAATGTTTGCAAATGAATTCCGCTTAAACACGCAAAATAGCGGAAGGGTTAAGGAAGAAAAAATAACCAGCCGTTTGTGGCACAAAGCCACAAGAATATCCGTAGGGATTTCTCAGAAAGAAATGCCTCTTAGTTGCCGAAAATATCATCCTGGTGCAAGTTTCTTACCTGGGACCAACGATTTTTCGGGGTGGTCACTCTACCAATTGAGCTAACCAAAAAGCTAGAAATTGGTAGCGCAAGGGTGAATTCATCGACAACTCGAAGCACATAGACACAAGTACTGCAAATGAGTTCTGCGGAGACCCGAAACGTGGCGGAAGTGTTAAGAAACGGAAAATGAACAACCGTGTGTATTTTTCTTTTCCCAAATATTGTTTCTAGACAAATGTGGCGGTTCGGCCTAGTTGGTACGACATGATAGTCATAGCACGAGATCTGAACAGCAACACATGGTCATATTCTTCTTTTTGTCCCTTTGTCGTCGTTCTCATCTCGCGCTATAACAATCGTCAAATCGTAACCAGGAGGTGACAAAAGCTTTACTAATGTGGTATTAGGCTGTTTTAGCGTGGTGTGAAATCTCTGACGGTGCCCAAAAACAACGCGTCGCATTGCCCGGCGACCAGCCGCGCTGCAGCTGGGCAACAACTGCCATAACCTCGCAAAGCAGCGCATGCGCCGAGCGCACCTACACCCACCCACTGACAACATACACAACTTACGCACTGCAATGCATAGCCATAGCCTCGTATCACGTAACAAGGCAACTAGTCACCTCACAGGTTTAGACGCCGGTATAGACGTTTTCAAAAACAGCTCTCTGGGTGCCGCCAAAGTATTTTCTGGGCGGCGCAAATTGGCATGATCTCCAAAAAAATGTCCTGCCGAGACTTTTGCTTCAGCCTTTGTACTCCCACGCGCAGCCCAACATTGTGGCGTTTTTCCCTCCTCTGAAAAAGTGCATAGATGTCTGCCTGAATGTGCCCAGGCAGTCATGGGGCCTCCTAAGAAAGCAGGTACTCACCAGGAGGAAGCCGTGCTTCTCGAAGCTACACACCTCGGTAAACGGCAACAACAGCATTGGGTCCCACACTGATGCTGTTTCGGTAATTATTTTTTTAATGGGGAAGGTTCACACCAACCCGCACAAACCTTCAGACTGGCAAGGTGGTTGACCCACAAGCAAAACTTACAACACAAACTTACAATATATCAAAACTTACAACAGCAAAACATACAACATATCAAAACCTAACGACAACATGGTGACAGCCGTCGTAAACTTAAAGACTGGAGGACGATTTCTTACACTTATTGGCAGGTCGTGGTCACGAAGTCGCCAGTAGATGTGCACTTTGATTCAGGCACCTCTGATGATAACTGAACGTTTCATGTATGCACCATCAATATTCTTTTCAAACCACATGGTTGTTTCACTTACTTTTCAACAAAGCACTCTAGAATTCTCAGCAGCACTCAGTGCAGCATTACGGGGATCATACTCGAAATAACTTCGAACCAGATACTAATCTCCAAACTTCACAGACAGTTTATCTAGTAATAAGTAGTGACTTCTCGCAATTCCTGAAAACGTATTGTCGAGTCTGCACTATAGCGATGTATACAATGAGTCTGAACACGAGCCAGTTTAATATCAAATTTGTCTTGTAAACATTGAAAGCGCACTTGTTGGATCATTGGTCTATTTAGTGAAGGGGCGCAGGTGTTTAGAAAAGAAGCATGGGATAATTACCAGCGACATTATGGCAAGTGTTTTTAAAACGGGCAATTACTTTCAATTATATATAGCAACTTGTGCATTCCTGTACAATTCGCACTCGGCAGAATGCGGCAAAAGCGTTCGAAAGGCAGATTTTTTAAGAGAATCATACCTACAAAGCTACTTGCAAGAATAGGCGCGATCAAGTGATTGTGTTGTCTACAGCATAATACTTTATGTCGCTTATTACAGCAAAGCACCACCTCCTCTGAGAGGCTCAGACATTTCTAATAAACTTTCACCTGCTTGATTTCGAACAAATCAATGTCCGCACACTGCGCAACAATTTTAAATCCAACCTCCACTGTAGATTATTCTGTTTTTTTTTCTCGTCTTTTCATATGATTCATGCTAAATAAATTGATGCTTGCATATCTACGGCAGGACTTGCAAATGTCGCTGGGGTCTGCACAAGGCACCGAGTGGCTATGGCAGAAGACGTCGCCCCCTCGTTTGACGGCGTCTTCGGAATGGCTCACGAGATCGGCCATTCGTAAGGACATTCTTGGCAGCTTTGTCTCGCTTTGATCGGTCCTCATACTTTGCACGGGAAGCTGGCGAACTTACTTTTGGCGGCGCAGGCTAGGCGCTCGGCATGACCCTCGAGGACCCGGAGAGTGTGCTTGGAGACTTGGCTACCTGATGAGCTATGAAGACGGCGGCCCGAACAAGTACCGGCTATCTACGTGCAGCATGGATGCCATAAAGATTAACACAGAGTAAGTACAGGAGTTAGCTTTCACTGTTCTAAAGATTCTCGTGAAGTAGCTACTACATGTATGACGTGAAATATCGGACATAGCGTCGCAGCTAGTGTGCGTTGATTAAGAGGACATCGCACATGGATTAAAAAACACAGTAAAAAATAGTTGAGACGAATTCGTGTGTGGGCTGGCTGAGCCATTAGAGCCTATATAATACTAATTGCCTTGTTTAGGTGACATATTTTAAAAAGGTTGGCTCAAGTGATCCATGTACACCTCCAATCTGTCAATACGTGTAAGGGGATACTTATTCGCGATTCCTTATGTTTCATAACTCCCTAACTACATCCACTACAGTGGTCGTTGCACTATATAGAATAATTCAGGCGCAAATTGGCCAACTCGTTCTAAAAGTTATATACCTCCCCCCCCCCCCTCATCAGTATTCTTCGTATTTTTTTTTTTAACGCGGCAGCGTTAAAGAACTCGTTTCGCAGAAATTCCAACGCCGGTGCCCGCGTCGGTGTTGGCGTCGGCGTCTTCGGTCATGAGCGAAAAATAACAGTCTTGGGAATGACAAAAAAAAATTGAGAAAGATGCAAATAAAATTCTGGGTTTGAATGGAGATCGAACCCTGGTCATTTGCGGGACAAACGTGTGTTCTACCACACAGACCACTTGCCTGTTTACGAATATAGTAACAACAGCTTCCTGTGCTTGGAAATGCAGTGAAAGTAACTTTCATGCTCTACAAACACACGGGTCCTCTATACAATCTTCACGATACAGCATAAATTATTGCCGTGATAATGCGTGGTACAAGCATCCATTGCCATCGGGTTTCAAAACGTGTGCTTATCATAATGACTTCATGGTTTAAAGCCGGTCGCCCACTACAAAAGGCACACTGGCTACTGCACCCTTAAGGCCCCGTAGTGGTTGCATAGCAAGTTCGAAAAAATTTCTTGATTAAGTGCCTGAAGCACGCACTAGGGACATGATATCGCTATCGCGTTCAACTCGTAAAGGCGAAGATTAAGGATCTCCTAATTTTTTCACAAAACACTGTGCAATTTACCGCTCCTTTCATTGTCCATATTTCTGGGCATCGCTATCTACCAGTTGGTCACTGGGGGTAAACGTGCAAGAACTCTCTTTTCGCCATTCGACTGAGGTATGCAACGCGCATTACAGCTAACCATAGGTGAAATAAAAGAAGCTAGAGTTTTACCCTTTGATTCTTTCAAAAAAAGTTGTCGCACGTGCAGAAGAAAACCGTCTTACAAAGTTTTGCAAATCTGCTTATGACTCATGCCGCAGGAAAGATGTAGGAAACTTAATGTCCTCACGCTAATACTGCTTAGTAACTTCAGAAACTTGCCAATGCTGGGGAATGCTTAGTGATTTCCTGCACATTGTCATGGAGTAAAGTAAAACGCTGCCTATATATACTGTCATTCTGATTTACTTATTGTTCAACATTATTACATGTAGTCAGAGGACAAAGAAACTCATGCCACTGGCGCTCTATCCCGGACCTGCGCCTCTTGTAAACAACTGACATATGAATTTACGGCTACCGGCAGTTCTTCCTAAAACAATAGTAGCGACATGATCCTTTCTGCACTTTCTATTGTCTTTGTACGCTATTAGCTGCAGATTCATATATTGAACACGGTGACACTGAGCAAATTAACGGCAACTAGAAATCAACTGAAATCACATAGAGACAACAGACGGCAACTACAAATGATTTAATGAAATTACACAAATGAAAGTAATGAATGTAATGATTTGCAAATTATGATTGTTTCTTTGTTTCCTTTGTTATTCAACTTTAGCAAAGCAACAACAACCGGGGGACATTATGGGACAGTCACAGGGTAGTAATAACACATACGAAGCAGACAACGGAAACCATGCCATTAGTAACAGTTTCCCTAAAAGACTTGTAAAAGGGGATATTTGTTGGAACATGGGGCTGGGACAGCTTTATGCTCTCCTATACTAGAGTACATCGTACTCTAAGTCGTGTAACATTTTTTGAAACACAAAGCATAATTGAATACTTGTGAAAAGGTAGTGTGTACATTACTGAAGTCATCATGGCAGGCCGTAGGGTTGGTGTCGAGTATAACAACACAGCATTACAAATGCAAAACGGAAAGAGTGCAAGAACAACAACGAGTTCAGGTCTATAGCGTTGAAGTCTAGTGAGTTGAATCTAAAGTAGAGGTCCTTCTTCTCGTGTTCCTTTCTATGGTAGTATCCGTGTGTTGCTTTGCTGGCTATCTTACTGAAGTGCTTGCGATAGTCCCGGTGCATATATCAAATAGTGCGCCTCTTTAAGCTGTCTGAATAGCGAAAAAAAACAAATGTGGCGAATTTGTTTGCAGGAAGCTCTCGGGTGATTGTCTTGGTGAATCGACAACCAGAATGCCCCACACGGTAAAACCACACGTCATGCCGGGGCAACAAGTATCTGCCCAATACTACTGCATGTTAGTCATGAAAAGAACATTGAAACAGAAGAGGATTTCCGGCGATGCGTTTCCGAAAACGGTGAGATTTCCACATCCATACTAAAAGCCGGCTAATTATTAACGCTTAGTTATTTACTCAAAAATTCGTCAGTACCAGAACAAATCCCCATCTACACAAAAACTTCTATTCATATCTCGACTTGTCAGACATTTCATCACAAGAACTTTATGGTAGTCCTGATTAACTATGTTTAGGGGAGCCATGGGTCTCCCACATGAAGTTGGTGGCTCCGCCCATGACGGGACCCGAAGTCGAACTTCCATCACGATGTCGTCACGACGTCCTCATGATGTTGTCACAATGTCGATGAACGGCCTGGAGTTGAGAGTGAAAACTGCAGCTCTTCAGACATGCATCCCCGTTGCTCCTTCTTGACGGGTGAATAGGCATCAAGTGCTGGGTACAGCCAGATTATGTGCTTGAAAGAACATCACTCATGGCCACATTTGTGGCATGGTCTAACTTATTAGGAGACCCAGGGTCCATCTTATTAGTAGATCGAGGCATGAGATAGGAACGAGTTTGCAGAAGTCCGAGGATGCTAGCCTGTGGCTGGTTTCATTCGGGATGGGGATTTGGAAATTTTTTCAGTGTTCGATGATAGTGGGAAACAATTTCGTGAAAAGTACACAACAGATTCTTATATATGTAACCTCGTTACGAACCTGGCTATCCATGACAGTGTGGCTCGTGCATCGCATGCTATCCGGTGAGCCTGCTCGTTAATGTTACATCCGAGGAGGTAAACTGAATGGTCTAGATGAGCTTGGATCTACGTGATGTGGTACTCGCCCACGTTGCACTCCCGATTTCGTTCAAGTGCTTTGGTCACAATACCGTTCATCTGTTGAGACACAAAGGCGTCCGAGGAAAATCTTACTGCTATGTGCGATTATGACAAGACAACAATGGAAACCTTTGCGCAGTGAAAAAGCCAGACCAATCACCGCTGTTTCCACGCCTGGGCCACCGTTACATAACAGAGGCTGCGCTAACCAGTTTGCCTTCTACGTAAACGACCCGAACCACGAACTTAGCCCCATTGTCATATCTACCAGCATCGAAAAAAGGGCCTTTGAGTTTTTACCAATTGATCTTTTTTAAGGATGACCTTGGCTCTCGAGCCCCGTCACGTGAAACAGTGTACATTTTGTCAGAAAAACAAATATCAAACGCACCTCATGGGCCAAGCTCCACAAACCATCATTAGTGGAAGTACATGCGTGGAAGAGCAAGCCTATCATCACTTCACAAAACAATTATAGTCAAAGTTTTATTTTGCTTGTTGTTTTAGAATACAATTGTATTGAGTTTTGTCAAAAAGGTTTTGTGGCTCTTTATGCTCCTTCGTCTGTTGCTAAGTTTGCAAACAATACCAGCGTCATACCTGCGCTAAATCCTTGATGCACGTGTTTCTAGTGCTTCTAGTGTTGTCCTATAAGTGCGTAGCACTTTAGACTCGTCATCCATATATATCGTATGGGATAGAGCTCAAACTTGACTCTTAATGTTTAAAACTGGGTTTAAATAAACCAAGAAGGTCACTTATTAAAATTTACGTCATCAGCAGCAGTAGCAACAGAAGCAGCATGACTACGTGCTCTTCAAAGCAAACTTACCAGAGAGTACCTTTCATGGTTCTCCCATCAACTCGGTCTTGTACTTTCTGCTGCCACGTTGTACCTGCGAACTTTTTAATCTCATCAACCCACCTGACTTTCTGCTTGCCCCTCGGGCATTTTCCTTCTCTGGAAATCCAGTCAGTTACCCTTAATGACTAGCGGTTATTGTACCTACGCTCTAAAAGCCCAGCCCATGTTCATTTCAGAGTTCTTGATTTCAGCAATGACATCCTTAACCCCAGTTTGCTTTCTGGCCCCACTCTGCTCTCTTCCTGTCTCTTAAGGTTGCACCTGTCATTTTCCTTTTCATCACTAACATTAAAATTACCAAAAGTATTTAAAGCAATCATAATAGTTAACTTGAAATTACTAAAAACGCTCCAGAAATGTGGGGCTAGCACACACGTTGTGCAATAGAGGGCGTTACCGCTTCGTCTGGCACGCAACTGCTCTTATCACTTACGCTTCCCCAGCACAATATCTGAAGAGCAAACAACCAGGTAGAACTCTCTACTTACGCCACGTATTTCAAGTGCTGTAGCAAGCCGGAAGTCCTCAAAGTGCAGCAAGTTGCGCACGTGTCGCACACCGAGTTTGCGAACCTCCCCAACAAGGTTCTACTTGGGCTAGGCAAACCCTACATGCTTACTTCAAACACTGACGTCATCGACGGTTTGGTAAACGTAGCGGTGATTGATTGATTGATTGATTGATTGATTGATTGATTGATTGATTGATTGATTGATTGATTGATTGATTGATATGTGGGGTTTAACATCCCAAAACCACCATATGATTATGATAGACGCCGTAGTGGAAGGCTCCGAAAATTTAGACCACCTGGAATCCTTTAACGTGCTCCCAAATATGAGCACACGGGTCTACAGCATTTCCGCCTCCATCGGAAATGCAGCCGCCGCAGCCGGGATTCGATCCCGTGACCTGAGGGTCAGCAGCCGAGTACCTTAGCCACTAGACGACCGCGGCGGGACAAACGGAGTGGTGGGCACTCAACGAACGGGAATCGCTGGGTTACCATGCTACACACTTACTCAGGTTTCACAGTAGGGGAGCTACATTTAGTGCAGGATTTAAGGCTACACTCGTCACTACACATTTTTTTCACGCCTACTGTTTCATATTTTGCATGCCTCTAACTTGCAGCCACCAGAACTCACTAGGGAGTGCAAGATGAAGTGCTGTTACTCGCAAGGTCGTCAAACTTGGTGCCAGAAAGTAGACCTTTTGGATGGCATGGAATGCGAACACAAAAGCGTAAGTACCTTGGTACTTCTGCTCATGTTTAAATATTAAGAAAGAACTCAATAACACCTGGAGAAACCAAACTAAGTATTCGACCACAATGACATAATTTCTGATCCCCACGTACCATTAAGCTTTGTAGCACTACCGTGGAAAAGGCATACTTTTAGCGAAATAGAGAATTGTTAAATACAACTAAGTACGAACAATGGTCGCATAGTGTTTTGCGTTAGAGGAAATAACCTGGAACAAAAGAAAAAATGGGTTATTTGTGCCTTCACGAGTTGTTGCAAGTACTACATAACTGTCACTTGTAAGAGCAAGTCAACGTATTCTGCACAATTTCAGTGGGCGTCTGATCATGTCGATATGTCTGTTTCTAATAACATCAAATAATTTCAGCACCCCATTTAGGTGATGTCCGCTGTGAATATGTAAGTAGTTCACACGCATCGAGCTTGTCTTGAAATTCTGTTTTGAAGAACCGCTACTTCTAGCTCTTGTGCATTGTGTTTTCAGAACCCTATTGACATCATCCTCTTTGCAACAGCATCATGATCGGCTGTCTATAAGAGCACGAAATGTACATAACTTCATTCTAAATGTCTTACAACTTAGTCTAGAGCAAGCGGCATTGTACAAATAAACTGTAGTGTGTTTTACAGAAATAACTTGAATAATACTTCGGTTTGTGTACAGTCAGTCATGGTCCACTTCTTGATAAACTAAATCGAACACCAAATGCAAATTGCATGTGATTAAATCTGCGGATTACCAACATTGCTAAAATGTAAAAATAAACATTCGGATATTCCTGTCTAACGTTCCATGCCCACTGTAATGTCGTCCCAAAAACGATTCTGTGGGGCAAGCATTTTAAACTGATGGAATGAAAACTAACTTTAAATAACAATAATGCTTATGTTGCAATTGTCTCAGTGTGTGGGGTGTCTTCCTCGACATTAGTGCCGACAAACTTCAAAGTAATTCAAGTCTCCAAATGCAGACGTAGCGTCGCAAAGTGTTATAGTATCACGTAATCTTTTCCAGACATGCATGAAAGGCGTCTGTGGAGCGAATAACCGGGCAGAAAAATAGCCGAAATAGCTACCTTACCAGAAGCATTGGAGCCTTGTGAAGACAACGTGAACAGGAATGGCACTAGAATCTTTGACGAAGCCATCATTTTTTCCACAACCACTTCTTCATTTGAACTTCAGGGTGGTATGCCTCTTGTGACGCTCTATATGTAGTCATAAGCCATACGACGTTTATAGATTAAATAAAGAATGCGGTGTACATACACCCCAACAGATCATACATTTACATATTAAATAATACATTCGCTTTGTTTTAGATCCTCGGGTACTTTAATAAATACATGGAAGTGACTTATCACAAGCAATATTCTCGGCTATTGCGTTGGAGGGTTTATGCTGTCAAGTTTGTAAGCAACACTACAAAGGTATATGATTGCATGTTCTACGTTGCACAATTACATCATGAAAACACCCGGATGTTGAATATATCTACGTCAACAACTGAACCACTCGTTGCGAGACCACAAGACCAACCACCTAAAGAAAGATTCTCTAGGCTAGTTTACGTCTTTTCATCGGCGGGACGAGGAAGTTCCTGGAAAGAATACGCCAGCACAGAAACGACATACACTGTCAATTTTTACTAAAGGTAACACTCGAGTGCGTGGCCTGCACGCTACGATGGCTGCTTGACCCGGCCTCTTGCATAATCACCTCGAAAGGGAAGGGGGTTACAATCTTGCCGCTGGTTTCTTATCATCAGTGGCTGGGTGTCTTGCGCGCCACTGTAGATGCCGTGAAGAGAGACTACGATTGCTTTCGATCCGGCTAGAACGTATACTGCAGCCAGCCGCTCAATCGTGCAGTCTATTTCACAAAAATGAACAGTGTACGTAGATTCAATGTGGAATAAAACACTCTCGCCACACACAGTGAGAAAACAAACCGTCGCATCAGCTTCGACGGTGCCTGAATAATTTAAATAGAAGGTAGCTGCACAAAAAGGCTACACTTAAAATGGTGGGGAATGCAAACGATGCCACGAAACATCAAAATGTCTGTGGGAACGCTATCGAGTTTACATGCACCAACACCTTTTTTTAAGAATTCTAGGCTGCGTTGATGCGTACACGGCCTTCGAAATTTATGGAGATGGCAACGCATTGACAACGATGCTGCAAATAACTATGGTACGAAGAGACGCAAGTGTGTGGAAAAGAAATTCCATCGGACTTACGTCACGAAAATGCGGTGGCGCTGTCTTGGTACTTCATCGATGGTACTTGGTACTTCATCAATGTTTATGGTGTGTTATATACGAATGAGACCTCAAGATATCAACGCATACCTAATGACTTCCACGCTCATACCAGGTGATGGAGCTCTAGCAGTCGTTCAGCTGACGTGGAACTTCTAGTGGCAGATTGACACCGAGCGCTTGAACTAGGTCATCATTGTGGCCAGTAAACCCGTCTGACGGCGTCATGCGCTCCATTAAGTCGCCAAGAACCATTATTTCTTTTGCCGGTGCCCCACCGTTCGGCACCTTCTTCGACGCGGCGCATTAAAGCAGAATTCACCTCACGCTGTTCCGGCACTACCCTCAATTAAGCCACAACCACAACGACTAGAAGGCACTGGGTAGGGCGAACCACCCATCGGTCTGTCAGTTGTGTCCCCGAACTGTTTTTTTGTCATGAGAAGCCGACATCACCACCTCTTCTGGACTGGCTTCAGCAAAGTGCATGTCTATGCCACCTGCTGAGCAAGTTTGAGGTTGCTGTCAATCGAGCAGAGGCTCTGGTTCGAAAACGCTGCAACGTTAGCCCACTGCGCACGGCTTAGTTGAGAAGACTGGGGTGAGAGGCTCACTCCGCAAAAGCACTAGATGTGTCAACGTGCCGCGCATGCGCAGTCGGCGTCTAGCGCTCGTCATGCTGGGCCCGCTCGCCCTGCTAAGCCGCCAGTGTAACTGCCCCAGTGACGCTTGCGAGACATTCAAATGTCTCGATATTTGTAAGCCCTCCCGCTCGACAAAGGTTGATCTTCCCAATTTTCTTTTGGCTGTAGATCATTTGCACCAAAGCACAATGTTGTCACCCGAATTGGCGACGCGTCGGTGAACTTTTCGTCTGTGTGTGAGCTCACACTTGCATGCGGACAAGTTTCTAATGGCACCTCACAGATTTCAGAAACGAAATGTCTGTATACGTTTACTAGGCACAGCTGCAGAGAGTACAAAGTATATCGGACGCAATATGATTGCACTAATCTTGTCTCTATGCCTACTGTTGTATTCCTCGGCACGTAAGTTATGGAAAGTTATTAAGCTTTAAAATACACGTCTGTCGCATAAATGCGGCGTACACGTCTCTGATTATTTCCAAAGTTAAATGGCGTTTTTATACGAAATTCCGCATCCAGGATTCGGAATATCTGGTATACCCCACAATCATAGAAGAACGGTCGACTGCAGGCAATCTCGCACTTCGTATTAATGACGCCATCACTCTGAACCTTGAAAGAAGTGATGTGCTGGCGGAACAGCTGCTATTCGTCACAGCCACTCGAGATAGACATGAAACCGAAACAGTGAGTACCCACATCACTTCTTTTCTGCATGTACGTGATAGCTGCATCCGCCGCAAGGTCATTCGTGCATAATCGAAATTAATCATGTAAAAAAATTAGATAAAACGTTTCGCTCGGGTCTGCCGTCATCACAGAAGAACAAAGATTCAGGGCTCACAACCAGCTAATCCAACTCACGAAGAAGATCAAGAATAAAAATAAAGGCCAGCATGTAAATCGTGCGGTCTATCCACCTCGGTGGAACAGTGGCTAGGTAACGGGTTCAATTCCAGCCGTTTCGGTCACATTTAGATGGACGCAAAATGGTGGAAGCCTGCGTACTGTGCAATGTCAGTGCCCGCTAAAGAACACCAGATGGTCGAAATTTCTGGAGTCTAGAGCATCTCTCGTAACAGGTGCGTAGCGAGAATTTTTTTTTCGGGGGCACCACCTTAAATTTTGGAGAGACACCCCCTTAAAATGGCCATTTTTTGCTTTCTATGCCGTGGCGAGAAAATAGTTTGGGGGAAGGGGGGCCACGTGTTTGGTGTGCCACTCCCTGACTGCGCCCCTGTCTCGTAATCATATCATGGTTACGGGACGTATAACCTCTGGTAATATCATTATTAACCACGTGGCGCCTAATTTGTGACTCCGAAAAATGTTTATCTAAACGCAAAGAACCTCTAATATCACAAGAAACATTGAGACAAGCAACACCCGCCTAAAGCACCCACAACAGCTACTCTCATAATGTTATATTGATTTTGTTTATAGCACATTCATAGGATGCCTATTGACCCATTAGGACAATAATTCTAGCTACCTTGGTGCTGTGCTTGGGCTCAAGGTACCATTGAGATTGGTGTACATTATCTCATCTCACAGTTTTGGTAAGGATTTTAGGAAGTAGTAAATATATGGATAATATCAGTCCTGCTTCAATCAAATGTCTGTGTTCTAACATCTCGGCAGTTTGGCCATGAAGGTAATGGCATGCCTACTCATAGCACAAACCCAATACACGTGTTACTAATAGCTTTGTATCAACACGTTATTCCCTACATTAACAGGTGGCCCTTAACACTCATATCATGGTGAAACAATTCAAATTGGCAAAACAGCAATGACTTTAAATATATATGAGAGGCTTGTATTAGCAGGAATAGCCAATTACACAGCATATGAAGAGGATAATATGAAAGTGGATTAAAATCTAAGCAGTCAGTGAGGAAGCAGAAATTATTTTGATCGCATTGTTACTAGGTCTATTGTTACAGGTCATGTTATAAGGCTTTGAAATCACGGTAGTGCCGCTGAATGACGTATTGAGTGCCACACAAAACATTAAAAGTGCACATATTTCGTAAGTTTGACGTCATACACAGCGATCCTTATGTCATATTGTAAAAGAAAAATATATGTTTTCAGTGAACACAAGATTTTAACATTTCAAGCTATTTAAAGGAAGTTTGCTCGAATATTCCGGAATTACTTTAGAATGTCTTGCTGAATATGTCAGCTGACAGAGCAGCAAAGGTGAAGTCAATAGGCTTACGCATATAAGGTGATATTTACGAAGCCGAAATGTGCGCTGTTGATTGTTTTCTATGAGATGCAACAACTGTACATCGACAAATGGTACGCAATATTCTTATAACAAATATTTATTTGACCAAACTTCCGAGTTCTTCGAGCATCTGTTTCAACGCTCACTGAGTGAAGTAGCACGACACTGAACATCGCGCAGTTTGACGTGAAATGGTCATGAGGGAAGACATTTTTCTGTTTCCTCATTTTCAGGGCAGACATGTACACTGTTTCTTACAAATAATACAGAATACAAATGGTTGCGTTGCCGTTTCGGTAGAGCCAACAGCCGCGAAGCTTCTTTCCTGAAACAAAAACTCAGTCACTGCGCATACAACTGTTAACAGAATGAAGCATCACGTATGTCACTTATGCTGTGTACGGGCCTTATACACTATTTTTAAACGCGTCAATGCACGTTTGCAACGTATCAATCCTCGTATACACTAGCCATCGCGCTTGTGCTTTGGCTGAACTGTCTCGTATATTCTATTATTTATGTTACCGCCCACATAAAACTGACGCACATTGCCAGCCACAGAGAAACCTTTGTGGTGTCCTAAATGCATCTAAGCTTTCGTTGTGATAGTGTTTTCTTAGGCTGCCGGTGTGATACACTGTGTATCCCTAATATGCATTGCCAAGTGAATAATGCGTATTATTTCCATTTTATTATTTTACAAGTGGGTGCACTCACCACAACTGTCGTCACATCACCGGAAAGAATAGCCTATTTCAGTGTCTTCCAATTACGACCTGTATTTTTATGACATTAGACAGTGAATAAACGTTATCTCCGTGTTTCACCCTCATAACATTTCTTAATGTTGTTAGGTTGAAAACCCTAACCCCCGCATTCACAAACGCTCCTCGACTCGACTTTCACCCTTCCCTTGACAAAGTTGAGCGCCGCGCCGCCGCTCGGCTGAAAATGACGCTGCGCTGCTCGAGAATCGCACCACATTATCGCCGATATGCAGTGACTTGCCTTGCCTAGCGAGGGTGCTTCTATCGGCTTTCTCAGGTGAAGGTGAAGCGTTGAGTGAAGGGGCAATCTAGAATGCGGTGGTGAGTCTTCCTGGCACGCTAAACGTGATTCTTCTTCGCAGCAACACTTCGAGTCTCTTGCTGGCAGCAAAATGCTACCACGAACATTGTCGGAAGATTAAAGTCAAGCAAAAGGCAAATTGTGCTACATGCGCAGCTGAGTGTTCATACGACGCTTTGTGTAGCTTTGTATATCGCTTATGCTTGTACCATTTCAATTTTATATTTCTCTTTGTGGACTTGCATCTATCAGACTTGTTCCATGATCACTTCTGACTCCTAATTACGTGTCTTAACTTCGACAGGTCGACACATCCTCTATACGACGCAAGCTGTACCACGACCTCAATGAGCAATCATCTCTTATGGTAGATCATACAGATGGCACCCTTCGCGTTGTAAGTTGTTTCTTATGAGTCTACTATGTTTCAGAATCAAAATGTGCAAGACACAGCCCCTGGAAAAGTATTATGCAAGCACAATGATTCGCATGCTTTTTTACGTCACCATAGATTGTGTTTTTTTATCAAACTTCCCTGGTTCGTCTTGAATCAGCATTAAACAGCAAACCTCCATTATGGTGCCACTACCAATTACACCTAATGCTTGCCGACAGCTAACGATTCCACCCTTAGTTAAGGGTGCATAAGCCTTGACTTGCAGTGCACAAAATACACGTTATGTTTGAAGCTACGTCTAAATAATATTTCGCCACCTAAACATTAAAAGTCCAGAATTTAAAAAATACTATTCGTACCAGCATTCTTCAAAGGCTCTGCCATGTTTTCAAATATTCCAAGAATTATTTCAATAAAGTGAGTGCAATCTGTCTAGAAACGCAACAAAATCTTCAAATGATTATTTTTGATAAACAGAGTAACACCACACGAACAACTCTTGAATTTTTAAGCTCGTAGTATACATACGCACAAACTATTTCAGAATGTTCGTCGAACATGCCTAGACTTTTTTAAACGAGCTAATTCAAGTCCAAATGAAATGTTCCAATCTATAACAGTGAAACCCAAATTTTTCTCCCCGATGCTGAGGATAGCGGGCTATGCATATTTTAGTCACGATATAGGTTTGAGATGTTCTTGTGACATCGCCACCTGGCGAAAAATTATTGTAGCAGACCCAACTTTATGGTCTTTTTGAACTTTTTTCTCTTTTTACCAGTTTCAGTTAAAGCACACTTCGCGCTTTTATAAGAAAAAAATGCTATTCACCTGTTATGTTGTTCGTTGAGTTGTCCTGCAGCAAAAAAAAATATTTGAAATAATCATTTTACCCGTTTTCGGCAGGAAGGCGTTGTCAACAGCAAGCTAAGAATCAAGCCAATACCTGAAGGAGAACGCTCAGCACAAGGCCATGTGCTTCATAGCCTATATGAAGTTGAAGAAATAAAAGATAGCTTCATCAACATCGGAGCATATTCGCGGTATTATCCTGAAGCAGATGGTAATACTTACATCAAAGCATGCTTCTCTTGCCAGCCATTTGCAAAGTGTTAGAAATTTCGGAAGCCTTAATAGTCAATGTAAAATGTCAACAAGCTTTCTGCCAACATGATTGGATGAGAGCATGCATAAAGAAGGCTATTTCTCTTTTCTTGAACATGTGCCACAATCTTATTGCATACAAAAACCTGAAAAATGACTTGCTAGATCACTATAAAAACTTTTGAAGCCCATTGATTTAGCCATTATATGAAAAATTGCAGTGTTTTTAATGAAAGAACCAATGAAATTTAGTGCATGTTGCTGCTGATAAGATGGCAACTTCGTGGTTTTTTTTTTAAGTAGACCTGCACATAGCGTATAGCAAAAACAATATCCTAGCAGGGCTCGCGTGAAAGTATAGCTCCCTTGAAGAAGTCATGAAGATTGTAATGAAAACAGAAAAAGTTGAACTCGCTATGAATACAATACCACGGAAATAGTTTGACAAGCGCAATAATGCAAATTAAATTTGAGAATGTTTACAAGAGTCGTTACAAAAGTTTGTTCTTTTTATTTACCAAATTTGCTGTAGTGTAGTCAAATTTTAAGTGCATTGACGGCATCAGCTGCTTAAGTGTTCATTTTGAGATTTTAGATTTCGTCATATTTTTTTTTCAGCACGACGCCATCAAGTATCAAGTAGAAACATTCAAGTCATCCGCCCTGGAAGTCATCACCGTTAGTTTTACATCTGCTGGGCTATAATTTTTCCCACGTGTTACAGCTCGTATGTGAAAACGCAGACCGGGGAAGACAGTTAAGGGAAAGATGTAAACTTGAAAATATGAAAACGAAAAATTTGAACCCAGAGTGTTCACGAATTCAACGCTTCGACAAGCGGACTTTTGTCCTCCAGCTTTGAAGATAAGTTTTGTCGTCGACAAGTATAGAGGCTCCTGTGAAAACTTGGGCTCACAAATATTTAGTCACTTTAAACTCTCTACAATAGTTTCTCAACTTATTTTTGACAATCATTGGCACTGACAAGTCTTATGTGGAAGAGTGACATTCATTTGACGTTGTAGGTACAACAACGTTATAGTTAAATTTAACGCAAAAGAAGTAGTTGAATGGCGTGTTTCTTCTCGTGTTGGCGCTAATTTATTTGCTATGTAAATGTAGTTATGATCCTCTCATGATTAACAGGCATGCAAGATTCCGCGCACAGTCATGAGTAGATGTGAAGAATTCAAGCTGTCATATTCGGCTTGTTATAGCATCCAACAAGATCGCAACAAAACCACTTAACCACTGTGCTAGAAGGTAATAAATCAGCAAAGCGAAATCAATCTAAGAGGAAATCAATCCAAGAAAATTATAAGAGATATCATTATCTTTCAGAATGGTGGCTCAATTACGCCACAAAGCAAAGCGAAGTAAGGTTACAAACGAAAATTTATCTCTTTCGTCGATGAAATTCGAGCCCACAACACCTGAACGTTTGGGGTTTAGATGCCACCGACTAAAATGGTGATTTTTGTTGACTTTTATTCATTTTAATTTATATTGTAATTAGCACACCACACTTAAAAAAAACAACAGATAATGTTCCTTATGCTTTTTCTGGCCTAAGTGTCTGCTGAATTCATTCGGTTATGTCTAAAAATGAGCAAGCTCCCTCAGAGAATTCCTCCAGAAAATTTCGCATATTGTAGTTAACAAGCATGATATATTTTACATGGCGTAATTAAGCCAAGTACTTACATATAATGAAGCTAGAGATCTGAAATAGAATGTTCTAAACCACCGTCAGTTCTAAACTTAGGAATGCTTCAGATAATTTAACGCGGAGCATGTCTCTAGCACTTAAGTTTCGAGGCGCAAAGTTCTGCCTGCATTATTCGCTAGAGCAACAACGTAGATGGATTACAGTCTATGACCCTTGATATGTCGTAGGGAGGTCAATTTGGAGGAGCTGTAATTAGGAGGTCTATAGGTTGCTATTTATCACTTTCTTCAGTTCCACCGGCTAACAGAACGACTACGACGACTACCAGACGACCAGTGCTTGAATTCACGGTTGAAGTTCACGTAATATCTGATGAAGAGCACAACCAAAATTTTGCTTCGGAAACTAAATTGATCCTTTATATTGGGGTCATGATAAATGCGGTAAGACTTGGATCTTTTCCTTCTTATACTTCAGGTTTTATGCATTCTCTTTTTTTTTTGAGTAGAATGTACATATATATTAGACATGTATGGTATATATATATATATATATATATATATATATATATATATATATATATATATATATATATATATATATATATATATATATATATATATATATATATATATATATATATATATATATATATATATAGAACTTGATATATATATATATATATATATATAGAACTTGAAGGGAAGGCACGACAGGTCCGGGTATTTTCTATATTGAATGAACTTGCAGATAGCACATAAGAAAAGGATCGTATTTCCTAACGTTTCGGCCGTGGCACGGCCTTCGTCAGAGTAAGTAGGTATGATACAATGCAGCCGCTTTTATAGGCTCACGTGATGAACTCTCGGTATAGCAGCTAGGACAATCAAAGTAAAAAAATGGTAATCTGTCAGAACCTTGTGTTGACATGACCGACATGTGACGGGTGCACGAATATACAAGTTTCAAATTTCCTTGCGCATCGACACGCGGGGCACAGTATGGTTGGCAGGACATGTAAAAGAGCTCTGAAGCAAAGAAACCACGGTTGACTAATATACATTTTAATATACACTAAAATACTTTACTAATCTAATAAGTCGTGTTGTTATATTGCGATATATATATATATATATATATATATATATATATATATATATATATATATATATATATATTGTGGTCATTTAGTATACCAATCCTCTTCATCTGTACATTATCATCATTATCATGTGTTGCTCATGCATCCTCATCGTTGTCACGTAGCCTCATCATCTTGGTTTGTTCATCTCAGCTGTCGGCTGCCGGTTCCTCGGGCCTAATAAAGGTCTTCCAAACCAAGACTTCATAATATATATATATATATATATATATATATATATATATATATATATATATATATATATATATATATATATATATATATATATATATATATATATATATAGTGGGAGTAATAATTCAATGGGCCAGTTAGTCTTCGTAAAGGTATGGGATATGGCACAACGGGAGCGTTGTCAACAGGGATAAATATATTTATTTCCCAACAGTTTCGGGAGGGGACCTCCCTTCATCAGGGGATGAGTTATACTATATATATATATATATATATATATATATATATATATATATATATATATATATAAGGCTTATATGCAGAACAATAACTTCGGTTGCCGCAAGGTTATAAATATGAAAGTAGATGCGCTTTCACATAACAACTGTTTATTGTGCCGACGTTTCGACAGGAACCCTGTCTTTTTGCCTGGAAAAGACAGGCAATTATGCCTTGAAAAAGACAGGGTTCCTGTCGAAACGTCGGCACAATAAACAGTTGTTATGTGAAAGCGCATCTACTTTCATATTTATATATATATATATATATATATATATATATATATATATATATATATATATATATATATATATATATATATATATATATATATATATATATATATATATATATATATAATACATATTCGGGACACCGGCAAATGCAACTGAAAAACCTTCCTTTACTTACTACTGTTTTCGAGTTCTACTCATCACTGTCACATATCGCTTATGTCCATGCAAACAGTGGTCAACATTTTTCTTAAAATTAAAAACCTAATAAATATTAAGCATTAGAGTGTTCTCGAACCGCAAAGCTCGTCAGGAGTCACAACAGGTATAGGTTATCTTTCACTTATTAAGTTTCTCAAACATACAAGCAGCGTATTGTCTGGTATGAGTTACTTTATTGTGTATGAATAACTTTGTTGTTGACAAAGTGCAATGTCACAATAGGTTGCTATTTGTCACCTTGTTGCAATAGTATCACCATAACTGAAAAGTAGGGGCGTATACTCAGGACTGACCATATCAATGGGCGACCATGTGCCTATCCTTCATATACAATGCTGCCTTATTCAATGGGACAGAATGAAGTGTCATCGACTTCCTTTAGTTGAGAGGTGGTATTGAGTGGAGGGACCTGCTGAAGAACAAGGGCTAAGTTTGGTTTATGCCGCTCTGTGTTTTCCTGGAGGGAGGGCACTTCAACAGAGCGCAGTAGGCATCCATGCCAAAAACAGTAATTGTGCCCGATACATGTTCGCAATTAACCGGAGGTTTTTGATATCATATTGAATTCAGTGCTTCCCAAGATATTGACGGCTATGTACTCAAATTCTTTAAATGTGGAAACATTATACACATTACATTAGCATCTGCTCAGGTTGCCTGTCAGCAGTGTGTAAACATTCACTATATTTCACGGTGTATTCGTTGCAGGTGCAATTGAGATTTCTTGGGATGAGAATGCCTACCATTAAATTCAAATTGGTCGGTGTAACAATGAGTAAGGTAAGCGAAACTCAACATTAAAACATCTTTGAAACGTTTTTTTTTTTTTCAGTCGAAACAGACCTTTTCTTGATTAATTTTAAATACTTGCTTGAAACACAGTCTTTTATGGCACATCTGTACTCTTTACGTCTGCAGCTGCATGAATGTCTTCATATCTGCGTAAAAGTTTTAAACAGCACCCATATGTATACTACATAAGCTTGAGATACAGACTGTTATGACACACTGGCCTTGTGCACAGTATCTTTAAGTTTTCACCCCAATCGGCATATAAAACAACCATGAGAGGTCAGCGTCTTTCCCTTTGACGAAGACAAAGCTCTTAGCGAAAAGTTTTCACGTGTTTCTATGATAGCGCCAGTGAATACACGTCTGTGTGTATAAGTGTTGTCAGCTTGAAAGAACCTAAAGCTGCAAGAGTCGAGTGCCCTCCTTTTTTGTACTGTATACAGTTGCGCCCCGCTACGTTTCGGGTTGACATGGGCAGCACAGCGTTTTTATAGCGTGCACAAACAGTATGCCTAAAATACTTCTCTTCAATTCCAGAGCGACACATTCGCTAGTGTCATTTTAGACACCTTGGAGGCGTACGAGACGATCAGTAAATTGGAAGAACATTACAAACAGGGATATATTCCAGGAAACCCCGACACCGTGTACCTTATGACAGGGTGAGTAATGACGGAAATATTTTATTACTGACGTGTTTTTTGTTGTTGTTGTTTGTTTTACTAGACATGAGGCGCATCGTCGTAAGTCTACAGGCTCACTCAAAATGTGTAAATTCTAACAAACGTCCGAAAGCTGGATAGATCAAAGACGACTAAGTGAATAGCGGAACCAGCAATATTTCTCTACATTTTTCATTAAAAATACCGGACTTTGTCACTACCTATAAAGATCTTCACGAACCTACTATTCGATACGAATTAAGAAGCCCGCAGCATTTCCTCCTGAAGTCTCGACACACTAAAGCCTGCACCAATAGGATTGCAACCTAAACTGACGTCATAAGCCCGAGTGTCAGCGACACCACCTTTATAGAACTTACAAGGACACTTGCTTGGATGAGCTGGTGGTTTTTTTCATTGATACGTTATTGTGCACCGCTTAAAAGACGAACACTAGGAAGATAGACTGGACGAACACAAGCGCTTTTATAGAGCATTGCCGAGTCTTCGAGCTGGACTATTTCTGTGGTCGTGGAAGCGACTGCTGACGAACTTCAGCAGTCTGGGCGGGGGCTTCTCTTTACTCCTTAAGTTGAACACCAACTGTAGATCAGCTCATTGTTCAGCGAGTGTGAGTGTCTGAGTCTGCAGGAGAATGCGCATAACAGTTACCATCGCAATATCACCACAATATTTTGTGACGATGTTGTCTTTTTTCTCACATATTCTTTAAGCAATGCCTTTTATACTATAATGCTGCCCACGCTTTTGTGCAAATTTCATCATTTCTCGCAGGCGAGACATCTCATCCACAAAAGGTGAAGGTCTAGAAAAGAACGTGGCTGGTAAGTGTTGTTTTCGTTGTCCGTCCGCATCGTGCTTGCGAGAATAATGAATGACAAATATTTGAATAGTTATAATTTGCACATATCCTGTGGGTAGTCTTGTACTTCATTAAAGAGAAGCGACAGAGTAGGTGACCATTGCCTTAGTGGTGCCCGGCATCTCGGCTGAAAGTGTAGTAGCTAGCTGACAGACTATTACAACTACGCTAACCACCATTTCACCAAAGGCGCTGCGTATGCTTCCATATAAATCACGGAAACGAGAGATCTATTTGTTTCGCATCCCGCCCACTCCTTAATTCTATGTAATGAGGTAGCATGATTGATTGATATGTGTGGTTTAACGTCCGAAAACCACCATATGATTATGAGAAACGCCGTAGTGGAGGGCTCCGGAAATTTTAACCCCCTGGGGTTCTTTAACGTGCATTCATACCTGAGCACACGGGCCTACAACATTTCCGCCTCCATCATAAATGCAGCCACTGCAGCCAGGATTCAATCACGCAACCTGCGGGTGAGCAGCCGAGTACCTTAGCCACTAGACCACCGCGGCGGGGCTATAATGAGGTAGCAGACAAACTGGCTCAAGAACTGACTGATCAAACCTATGGCACGATGGACGTCGAGTGGGAGATGAACAGACCAGTTAACGAGCCACAAGAAGTTGCATACAAACGCAGATTGTGGAGATGTGTTGTAAATTCCCTAAAACAACAATCCGTATAAGCCACAAACAACAACGTGGGGAGAGTTTCACACAAGAACATTGCGTTATGTGGCATCTATGTGACCCACAGCCTTCATTCGGCGAACTGACTCGAGAGTCCAACCACTCGGACTCACACAGACGCAGATTGAGCCATGATTCTAAGTCTGCATGATTCTGGGTGAGTAATATTTTATCTAGTTTGAATCCCACAGACTACAACTTTGGGGAGGAGTCGCGTTGTTTTACTTCTTCGAAACAATGGTCCAGCACTTGATGCGAAGTCTAGCAAAACAGCAACGCGAAAATCCTTGTAACAAACAGGCTAATATAACTGCTAAGTAGAGGTGAAAAGAACGCTGATATTTTGAGAACCGAAATTTGTACATCATTACAGGCATCCTGTCACTAAATGAGGCACAAAAACCTCTGGTGAACTGCGGAAGTGCAACAAACTGAGCTGGCTTGTGCTTCATTAGGACGGGACGAAACGGTGATACAGAGGGGACGCTTCAACGCCTTCCGTGTGGTTTGCTTGCTTGCATTCTCGGGGCGCATGTTGTCCTGTCCGCAAGAACACTTCACTCAGTTTAGTTTCGTTCTATCACCGTCTTCTGCGAATCGCAAGACGTTCTATTGTTACGGTTGCCAGCCATCCAAGATTTTGTGGGACTGTCCCGACTTTGCGTGCACCTTCCCGAGTTTCACACCGTCCTTGTCGGAACAGCTATCGGATTCGGTCTGAACCGTTCGGTTGGAAAATTTTATGTGATCTAACGCACTCTAAACAACATTTGCCTCACGCTAAGAAACACGAAGCCGGCACAAATCGCACTCACAAAGCTACTTGTGGAGTAGCGATGGCCACTAGATGCTGTAGCCGCTTCAGCTGAACTTTCGCGTGAAGCGCGACAACTTTTACGAATACATTATACAGCAAGAGGAAGTGTAGCGAACAAGCATGTAGCCAGCTTGAAGTGCTTCTGAGAGGCCGCAACTGTAAAAGAACCACAGCATATCCACGAGGGGAATGATGACGAGTGGGGTGAAGCGGACGGATAGACGCACGAACGGGTGGATGGACTAACGGATGCTTCGCCCCATTCACCATCCTTCCCTGCATGGATAAGCTGTGACACCGTTTCTATTGATATGCAATGCAATGCAACTGGCCACTACGACCACTACGACGACACGAGACATGCGACGCACGGCTTAGGGGCTTCGCCCCTGAAAAAAGCAGCAGGTTTGCATGAAAGACACCGCAATAAATATACCTGGTTTCCCGCCTTCCCGTCTCGACTTTCTTCATTGAAGAGTTGGTGACCCTATCTATTATTCGTTGTTTGCCTTTAGGCCTTCGCCTTTTCGTCTTTTAGACTTTTTTATACTTTGCATGCCTTTTAGCTACTGTTTAAAACGGATCACTTCCAGCTTCCTATATCGCCCATCTGGTAGGGACAAATGTTCACTATCTTCACTACAGGGCTTGCCAATGTCGGTGGAGTGTGCACAGTTCGCCGAGTGGCTCTTGGCGAGGATGTCGCTTTATCCTATGATGGAGTATACGCGATGGCCCACGAGATTGCCCACCTGTAAGTAACAGGTTTCCATTCTTCAAGCCTGCCTGCTTCCGGCGTGCATGCAGAGAAAGTTCGCGAATCTCGCTATGCAGGCTTGGAGCACGACATGATCCGACGGAACCTGGTGACTGCGCTTGGAAACTCGGTTTCCTGATGAGTTATGAAGAAGGGGGCACTAACAAGTACCGGCTTTCTCGCTGCAGCGAGGCTAGCATAAGGGCCAACGTAGCGTAAGCTTCAGAGCGTTTCCTATTTCTTCAAAAACTTTTGCATTGGCATGTTTGAGAGTGTTCAAATTCTGCCGTGAGTCAATGTCCTGTGTTTTCATGTCACAGCTGGAAACTGGAGAGCTCCAGGGCCGTTAGCATAGTCTACATTAATCGTTTTTGTTTTTCTAATCCCGGATATTTCTGTATGTTCACGTGCCTCGTTATCATTATATGACACAGCAAATGATGACGTCGAGACCCCAGATCTTGACGAATGAAATTTTTGAACATGGCATTCCTTTTGGCTGTTTTAAAACGTGACGCTCAGTATTGCCTTATAAGCAGGGACTTCTTTTTAGCAGTGCATTCGAAGCTTCTTAGAGCACGTTTTAAAGTAACTCTGCTCGACAGTTAAGTCACTTCCGCTTTGGTACAGATCTTAAAAATGAAATGTTCATGGAACGCTTCGACCAAAGAACATCAGCATTGAGCGTAAATCAAAAGAAATAATACGGCGATCCAGTAGCACCTACAGCCGCGATATTTTACTAAGTGCTTGAAATACGAACGCCTAACATAAACAAGGACAAAGTTAGTTCTTGTCTATGTTACGTGCTCGTATTTCAAGTAATTATCAATCAGCAACTCCCCCAATCAGCCATTCCACGAGTGCTTGTCTTTTTGTATGAGCCTGACATTAACATACTTGTAAGCGTAATCACGCGTGTCCATTTTATGGAACTGGATACTCGTTGATGGACGACTCCACCAGACATAGAAGACAGCCAACATTAGGTTTGTACCGGCATAGGAATGAAGAAACGCGTCTTATTATTGTGGCATACTACATCAATAATAGCAATGGCACATTCGTGAACCAATTGTCGAAGGATTTGTACGAAGATGAAACCACATAATTCAACAGTCATCTTTCACGTAGACCCTCACGTGTGCCAGATTGAAAGGGTCGCATGTCGCATAGGCATGCGCAGGTAAGCTTTCGCGCCTTCTTTCTGTTCTGCAGTTGTGTACACCTTTAGTTGTTGGGCGTTTGTGGTGTCCTGACTTTCTTCTTGAGTGCGTCCTTGCATGCCTTTTTTTTAATGTACCGGAAGTTCCAAGTCAGCATTTTATGGCGGGGCTTATTTGCACATTGTCTCTAATTCCGACTTCTACACGAGGTATGGAAATTTCCATAAACAGAAATAATTAAACTCAAGTGATTTGACCTAACCTTCTTTCTCCCCCTAACCCGCTTGCCTTCCCTAACTGGATTCCCAAAGAAGGCAAGCTGGTTAGGGGGAGACGGAAGGTTAGGTGGGCAGACGAGATTAAGAAGTTTGCAGGTATAAATAGACAGCAGCAAGCACAGGACCGAGTTGACTGGCGGAACATGGGAGAGGCCTTTGTCCTGCAGTGGACGTAATCAGGTCGATAATAACAATCATAATGATAATAATAATAATGACAATGATAATAACGATGATAACCACAATGACAATGCGAGTGATGACAATGACAGTGATGACAATGATGACGATTACGACGATAATGACGACGATGACGACAATAATGACGACGACGACGATAGTGGTAATGATAATGATGATAATAATGATGACGATGATGACGATGATAATGAATATGATGACGATGACAGTGCGAATGAGAATGACGACGACGACGACGATGATTATGATGATGATCCTGTGTTTAAATGGGTAGAACCAATATTTGCGAAACACTTTTTGTAAACTTTGGCACGTGAGTTCAAAGGCGTCCAGTGATGGTGCTGTCGGTGCTTGTCATCTGAAAATGAAACTCGAAGTAGCTCAAAGTAGTATTTCCGATCCCACGCGGCAAGTGTCGACAGCGTCACCATGGTCCATGACGTACACAGCTAAACCGTTTACAGGAGGCGCGTCGTAGTAGATAACCATGCCCCCTCAGTTTCATCCTGCACTTCCGCAAAGTCAGCGATGGCTCCCACACCCAGAGAGTCTAGCATTGTCCAGTCGAGCACAGATCACGGCACGCGCACCTCTGTCAATTCCTGAGCACTTCTGCGCCTCATTTTAAGGTGTGCTTTTGGAATTCAAGTATTACCACATTAACGATAGCAAGAAGGCTTCTACAAAGATAAACCCATCATCATCAGCATCATCATCACGCCCACTGCAGCACAAAGGCCGCTCCCATGTTTCGCCAGTCAACTCAGTCCGTAGACAACTTAGTACTCATAAAGTGTTCTAAAATTAAATAGTCTATGGCGCTGCCATCGTTCAGCGATTATGGGAATGATGGTTAGTACATGAATTGCCTAATGTTTCTGCCTGCTGGCTCTAAACGCATTTGTGGTTTTGTTCATTGCAGTAGTTTCGTTTTGTTTCGAATATAAGAACAGACCGTTGTGAACTTCGTGACCCGATTTGGATTGGTGAGCCTAAAATATCAAGGTGGTGAAAGCGCAACTACTAAACCTGTGTTGATTGTCGTCTGGCGACAAAGAGGTTTCAAGCCACGCGAACACAAACGGAGTTCAAAGTACGAAGATTAGACAAACGTGCGTACTACCCATCATTCCCATGCTCGCTGAAGCGCCATGCGTCGCAGTTCCCGTAGACCATAGCGCCAGAGTTCTGTCTAGTGTACTTATAGAAAACTCTATAGAATGACGCACCTTCCATAGGTGGTCGAAATTTCCGTAGCCCTCCACTACGGCTTCTCTCATAATCATATGGTGGTTTTGGTATGTTGAACCCCATATATCAATCAATCAATCAATCTGGTATCGTGACTTTGTTCTAGTCATTAAATCTCTGCAACGCATTGTGTTTCGAGCTGCGACCCCCACCTTTATAGGGTATAGAATGGACCTTTTTCACGGGCGTCTTTCGTGCATGCGCAGCGGAAACAATGACGGCGGCCCCCACCTCGAAATACTGTTGGCTGCTCGTGGGCTCCAAATTCTGCCAGCGGGCCATCTCCGAGGCCACGTAGGCACAAGCTCTCACGCTGTCGCGTCGACTGGAAAGCGACCGCATTTTTTAAAGACGCTAATCTTTCTTGGGGACCATCGACGGAAAAATTTTGGTCTGTCTGTCTGTCTGTCTGTCTGTCTGTCTGTCTGTCTGTCTGTCTGTCTGTCTGTCTGTCTGTCTGTCTGTACATTTGTCTGTTTGTCTGCCCTAACAATACCTCAAACGGGACCGAACGGCCAACCCCATCCGCAGTGCCCACCAATATTGCTCAAGGTTTAGCGTTCATAGTTGTGCGATTGTAAATTAAAAAGTGCTTATTTCACATATCTCAGGCGCCAAAACAACGCTTCGATGTTTTGTATGTCTGTCTTTATACTAGAAGAGGCACACAGAAGTAACTCTAAGAAATGTAGCGTTTAATCGCGCTGCGCTGACAATTCCACGCGATGCTCAAAAAGGTGTTTCCGACGCTTTGCTGCGATGTCACAGTGATGGTGGCACTTGCCCGTAGCTTTGCGTTCTACACCTTATCACCTCCAAGACTGGCGCACATCTTTCTCCGCGGGCTGCACGCCTTCGTTTTTGAAGATAACTGCCAGATGGCACTTGTGTCTAACGTGCCTCGATGTGCTCGTTCGCCTTCGCTACACGCTCGAGGCACTCTAACGCAGCGCCTGCAGAATACCAATCACCGAATTTCTTGCGCAGAACATCAAATAAACGTTTTGTTCACTCTCTTCAGATGCAATACTGTCGTCTTTCGACGACACTTGCGGTGTAACATGCAGATTTGGAACCAATTTTTTTTCTTTGGCTCTCGCCCCTAGGGGCGTTGTACCTACCGTAAAAAAGGTCCATGTTGCAATTGTGTAATGTATAACAGCTAATTAATTTAAGCAAAGCAGTACAGAATTATTGAGTACTAACGAAAAGGGACATAACACTGTGTTTTGCTTACATTCACAGTGAATCTGACTATGATAGTGCATTTCTGCTTCATGAACCAACCTGACTGATTTTTAGCCCCATTCATGAGCAAATCGATGCATAAGTTTATATAAGCAACGCCAGATTTCCCTGGAAAGCTATAAAAACACAGGCAATTTGCATGGTTCCATGCAGGCGCCTCTCTTATATTTGCATACTGCAGATGGCAAGAGTCACAATATCACACGTCCGCATCTCTGGTGACATGCCGGGAAAAAAGATTTCTGCAGATCGATATTGCAGATTGACCTACCGAAGGTATTTGAGAAGTAAAAGAATTTCAGCTAAAGCCTACGCAGCAATGGTAAGAGACCCTGACAACATATCTGAGGAAGAGTGAGAAAAGCGTTAATGCTTACCACCATACGTCAGTGATTTCATTTTTGTATGCCATGCTCAGCAACTTTTGTGCACTGCTTTCATTTTTCTCATGATGATGCTGGGAAGCGCGATATAAGCAAAATACATGAGAGGAACTAAACAATAAAGCACTTGTCTTCTCCAGTTCTCGTGTATTTTGCGTGTTTTGCGCGCCAAACTACCATCCCGGCTCAATACGAATTCACCCAGATTTCTGCTCTTGTAAACTTAATTTTGTTTCACTAGTTTATGCATGTGCCATCTAGCCCGTCTCAATGAAGGCACTGTGAGTAAAATTAGTTAAATATTACTAATTCTGGTAATAATTATTATTTATCATTATAATTATTTCAATATGGCCAGCTCCTCTGCCTGAAAGCCATGGAAACAGTGAAGTTCATGCCACCTTTTGTAAGGCTATCCCATTTCTTTGTTCTGCAAGTCTTTTCTAGCTGTGTGGGTTGTATCAGTGTTCTTCATTTGTTACGCTTCGTTATCTGTACACTATGTATGTTATTATGTGTACTGTAATCCTTCGAATGACGGCTTCTGCGCATTGTGTATAGACAAAAAAAAAGCTCTGAATTTCGCGCGTGATCCTTCTCCGCCCACTTTTCTTTATATTGCTTTGGTGCAATGAAACCTTCAGTTGTTAGCACTCGTCCTGAGT